TCTGCCCCAACTTCAGTTTGTATAAAATGGTGGGGGAGGCATATTACACCTATTTTGAGGGCCCTGCGTTGGCTTTCCATTGGCTTCTGCATGTAATTTGAAGTCCTGGTTTTATTTCCATGCTTCTGTAAGAGCTGGAAAAAAGATGAATTTGCTTTAAGTAGTTACATTAAAAGATACTGCAGTTTTAAAAAGCCAACTCCCTATAAGAGCCCTGCCTTTTTCCAGACCACGGCGTCTACAATTCTTTCTGCTCCAGCCTGTGCCAGGCAGCCAGAAGAATTAGGCTAAGAATGGAGCAGCCAGCAACCCTCAGAGCCATTGCCCAAGTGCACTGGGTGGATTCCTTCAGGATTTCTTTTCTCCTAAATCCCCAGCTGGATGCAGACTATGGTCAATTTGATCTTTCTTTGGCCTGCCATACCAAATTTGGTCCCATTTTTTTTTTATTATGCTGCTGATGAAGAGAGGCAGACATGATCCCCAGTCCATTTACATAACTTCTTTCCAACATTCTGTTGGGTTGGAAAAACTAAAATCAGACTGAGGGATTTATCACATGGGGGCTGCTTCAAACACAAATTCCTACTACAGGTGGATACGTCAACATATTTGGGCTTGTGTGTTCCCATTGGGTTGCTAAGATTGAAGTCGAGGGAGAGCAGCATCTAGACACACTAAGTTAGCAGAAAAGTGACCTTGCAGTGTAGTGTTGGCTAGCCAGAACCTCCAAAAACAGTTAAACAGAAACCCCCCTCCCCATCTGAGAGTTCTCTCCAAGGTGGGTATTTAAATGGCTAAGTATTGCTGAAAACATAATCAGAGACCAATATAGCACTCTAAGTGGGTTGGTGGCATGAATTTAGGGAGAGAAGAAATGGGGGAGGGATAGTCTGTTTCATAACTATAAAAGTCCACCCATTGGCACCCTGAAAGGAATTTCTTGTGTAACCTGGCAACCAGCTCGGCAATCACTAAGCAACGTGATTGCTGGGCAGCACAATGGGTGATTGGCAGCTCTTCTGAGAGGCTGGAAGCCGCCCTTGACCCAGGAAACTGCTACCGAAGGTAGCCCCGCCTCCGCTCAGAGAGCCACGGTCTTTTCGAGGGCTTCTAGTTCCTCTCTCTCCCACGTGCAGCTGCGATTGGAGCGGGTGGAACAAAGGCAGTTGCTGTGTGGGTGGTTGAAGGCGGTAGGTGAAGGCTCTGTGAATGCTACGTCAATCAAAGCACTTTAACGTGGAGAATCGTCGCAGCGGTGGCGGTGGATTTGGAGGAGAAGCAATGGTGAAAGTTTCTTTTCCAATTTCCTACCTGAAGGTGGGAGCAGAAATTTTCAGATAAATAGGGGAAAAACAAAGTGCTCTTATAGAATGTTCCCTCTTTCAGAAGAAAACCTGGAAGTGTTTCAAAGCATTAGCTAAAGGCATTTCTTCGGGGGAAAAATATATTAAAGTAGTTGTAATCGGTCTTTTGCACGTTTCCTGATCACAATAAAGTCTAATAAGATGAAATTTTGTTGTAAGTCAATTCATCCTGCTGCAAATTTGAAATACTTAACACATACAATCAGTACTGTACTAAATACAAAGTACTAGCGTGGGGGTGACAATACTGCATTGGAATAGATTGAAATAAACAATTTCAGACATCTTGATGCTGGAAAAAGATAATCAAAAATGGAGAACATAGAACATCTTCAAGTACTTTGTTCCATTCTGGATGTTTCTGAGCATATAATTTCTACAATAAAATGAAGAGGATTTTACACAAAACAGCTTCCAAACAGCTTCCAACAGCCTCTTTATTTTCAGAGTCAAGTCAAGTAAAACTTTAGTATAGATTACTGACCCGGACTTCATTAAAATATGTAATACAAATTATAACATGCATGATAAAAATATTGTTGTCATAATTTGTCTACTTTGCTGTCAACAATGCACATTTTCTACAGGCTACAAATACAAAATCTGCAACAAGAAAAGTTATATTGGGATATTGATTTGTCCAAAGAAGCTGCATATAGAATACTTTGGGTCTAGGAAGAAATGGTAGTAACTTACTGTAGATATCTTGGTAAAAATTACAATATAGCAAATATGATCCCATGATTCAATGCTCCTATCTTTGTAGGAACAAAGTCTTTCAGTGTTGGGGACTTGCCAACAGGTTTGTTTTGTGCACCAATATACAATGTTAACTTATTTTGACTGTCTTACTTTTTTTCTCATTAAATCAGTTGTTGACAGATACCTCTTGAATGTATGTTGGTGCTTTGGGGTCAGTTATGATTCCTGGCGACTGCCTGGACTAGTCCCTGCAGTTTATTGGCAAGATTTGGAAGTGGCTTGCCCTTGCCTTCTTCCCAGGGCTGACAGAAAATGACTGGCCCAAAGTTATGCAGCTGGCTTCATACCTCAAGCAAGACTTGGTCTTCCAGTTTTTAACCTGGTGCCTTAACCATTATAACAAACTGGCTTTGGCAAATGTATGTACCCATGCTATAATCACAAGGGTGTTGCACCAATTGATTATATTCACAGTGGACACAATGAGTAAAAACCTTTTGGATATGCGTTTTTAACACAAGTGATGAAATGTTGTGGTATTTACCTTTCAATACTGCTGATGTATATTAAACTGCAATAAAGGCCCTCTAAAGTTTGTTATTTGTAAGTTGGGCCACATATAATGTTGATTTGAAATAAAATTTGCTGTGCCCTGTTTGACTTCTTGGTATGTTCTCTTTGTAATTCTATGTCAAAAATTATTTGTTTATGAGCTACCTTTGCATGATCTTTCAGGTGCATCCACATCTCACTCGAGAACCCCAATTTAGGTAATTTACCACTTATTTGGAGTTTTCAAGAATTATCTGGTAAGATATTCTGACCATTCAAAACATACACTTGTTTTTATTAGGAAAGATACATTTTTTAAAAATCCCTACTTGACTAGTGTTTAAAAGTCCTATGTTCATAAATATAATGGTGGGGTATACAGAGATGTGCTATTTATTTCACCCTTTATCATGTTTACACACTTCAAGAGGTCAAAGGGGTAGATTCACACCTTAAAAACAATTGTGAGCCACAAAGGAAGCAACTGCTGTTTGGTGACTTAGCAGCAGAGCCTCCGTGAGGTCTGGAGATGTTGGAGGTACTCAGCAGCATGTCTTTTGAAGCAGAAGGAGCTGCTGGAACCTGAGCATTGATAAATCCATACTAGTGGTGATGATGTTTGGTAGCAGCGGATTGGTTATTTTTCAAAACTCACTGGCAGGTGGCACAAGGCTGCTTTGTGGCCACAGATGGTTGTGCAGGCATACCTTATACCAGGGGTGTCAAACTCAATTTCATTGAGGGCCGCATCAGCATTGTGGTTGCCCTCGGGAAAGGGGTTGGGTGGGTGTGGCCAGGGTGGATGCGGCCTGAGTGGGCGTGGACGGAGTGGATGTGACCTATTGGGTGGGCATGGCCAGCTTTACATTGTTCGTGTCAAGGGTGCCTGTGGGGCCTGAGCAGAAGTGGGACACATCTGTGGGTCTCTGGCAGAAGGGGGTGGGACCAGGGCAAGTGCCAAGGCATGGGCCACTGGAGGAACCTCACCGTTCCTCTAAGGCCATGCGGGGGGGGGGGGTGGATGGTGGTGCGGGCTGCCCAGAGCCCTGGGCAACAGAGGTCAAACGCCCAGCCTGGCCCTTAAGCACCTGCGGCACCAAGCCCAGCTGTACTTCCCCAAGGGGGTGCCCAGCTGCATTTACCTCCTCCTCAAGGCTGCTGCTGCTGTGCTTGCTCTCCTTAGCCAGATTGCTCATGATGGGTACAAGAGCAAAGTCAGAGGGAGGCCCATTCCCTCTCCATGGGAGGAGACCCAGCTTTGTATCCAAAGCTTCCTTAGCAATAGGATGGGAGACCCCCAGGATAGGCCACCTACATTGGCTCCCGGCCGGCCTTGGCCAGGGCCAAGGCAGCGGGAGCCGTTCCCTCACTGTTTCCAGGATGGCTTCGCGGGCCACATGAAACCACTTCGCAGGCTGCATCCTTGTGTTTGACATGTCAGCCTTATACAGAAAGAGATGACTTTGTATATCAAATCACTAGAACCAAAATAACTAATGGAACAAATTCCAGTTCCCTATTTTAATTTCTTTTGAGAAATATGAATAGATTTCTCAATTCATCCCCTAAGGCTTAGAATAAGCAAGACTAAAATGTGCCAAAAGTACATTTAATTAAAAGTAGTTATTGATAGATAAAACATCAACAATCAAGGGAGACTCCCCAACAAGCCTGAAGTCTTGTCTTAAAGGATTAATTAAGGATATGAGATTTATTTATTAAATTTATATGCTGCCCATCTCCCCAGTAAGGCGACTCTGGACACTTAGATTTGATGCGATAGGAATCACAGAACAAACAAGAATGGCTCCCTTGTCCAAAAATGAGTACGCCATGCAACAAGATGACTGGTGATACTCTTTTGTTTCTCAAATGCATCAAAAAGCTGTTTAGATACAGGTTTTAGTTTTGTAAACTGAACAATTCTACTACCAACATGAACACTAAAAGAAACACCTGTTGGCTCAAGTAGTAATTATACCATGACCAACCAGATGCCTCAAAAAGCCATAGTATTAATAGTCCCTCTACAATAGGTACCGAGATACGTAATACCATCATTATGGTCTCTTTCCCATTACATGTGCATCTACTGCGGACTCCACCCTATTATTTCTATTCTACCAGGATCCCTTGCATAGCCCGCCTTGTCCATATTTCTGCTTAAATATCTTTGTCGTCTATCTGGCCAAATGCAGGCGTTTCTGAGGAACAGCTGCATTTTTTCCCCAGTGAATTTGCCATTCAATCAGCCCATGGTAAAGCATCTCAGGCAGCCACATATTGTAAAAGACGGGAAAGTTGCCAAACTTTCCTGCTCCGTGCTTCCTCCGTACCTTTCGGTAACAGTTCTTAGAACAGCGCTAAAGAAGAAACCAATCAAGCGCCCAAGGAAATGGATCAAACGTCATTTTATTAAGAAATGCATCCCGAATTCGGCACTCGAAAAATCGCAGCGTGGTCACAGTTCCTACGTTACCTCATCACAACTCAACCTTTGGGAAAACGCGGGAATCAAGCGGCGCTCACCATTCCTGAGAATGTCTTTCTCGGCGTCACGTTCCAATCCACGTGTCAGAAAGTTCTAAAAACCTATACCAGGATTGGCCGCCTTTCGGTGACTGTCGTTTCTGATTGGCTTAAATTATTGTGTCCCTCCTGAATACGGCTACATTGGCGCCAATAATCATTGGCCGACTCACCGTAATGCAGGCTTTGGATTGGTTGCTGTGAGGCCGGACTTCTAATTAGGTTCTGCTCTGACTATATCAGCCGAGCTGCTGGAGTTGGAGATGGTGGGATCGGTACCGGTTGGATCTCGGCCGCGGCCGCTGCTGCTTCTCGGTCCTCCCGGCTCGGGTCGTTCCACACTCTTGTTCCGCGCAGCACTAGCAGGTGCTTCCATTGTCTCCTCGCCTCGCGTGTTGTTTTTGGCACCGCGGGCCCTGGAGCGGCTTCCGGGCGGGAAAGCAGCCGGAGGAGGAGCGATCCAGGTGTGAATGGAATGGGGGTAGGCTTTGCAGTTCTCAGCCCGTGTGGAAACTGGAAGAGGATTGTTTCTGCAGTACGCAAGATAAACAGTTTAACTATGAATTGATGGAAATTTACTGGGTTGTTATTTTACATTTAACAGGTAGCAATTTTTTCTCCTTCAAAATTTCCTATGACTTTAGTCATGCGGGTGGAGATGAGGGATATCACAGGAATTTTGGGAGACGTAGCTTCATTCTCTGGGACTCCAGAAAGCCTGGGAGAAAGCCAACATATTTTCTCTATGCTGATTAATCTCTTTGCAGAAAGTTTGTCTGAAAGAATATTATTGGGAAGGGAAATAATTTCATATATATTTCAGAAAAATATTTGTAGACTTAAACAAATGGACCCATGGGTCTCAAATGATTAGTACATAGAATGAGGTTAAACATCTGTTAAATACAAAGGCACATTTCTGTCTGATAACACCTACGATGGGAATGGGTTTCAAAATTAGTGACTCTAGCCCAGTGCTGGGCATGTCTTGCAAGATGTGAATTGTGAGTTTCTGCTTTTCAGTATCTGCCATGATTTAAGGAAAGTGTTTTTACAAAGGCCATCCTGATATCTGTCATGACTTTGTGTCTAACACTCTTGGTCACTAATGTGTTTTTTTTTTTCCCCTCTCTCAAGAAAATCCATTTCCTGTACCCGTCTTCCTTCCAGGAGCTAGTTCAACTGGTGGCTTCCCTGCACCAAACCTTACCTAATAGCCCCTCCATGATTGTGTTGGATGGTTTGGAAGAGTACCTGAACAGTTGTTCCAGTGCCTGTACAGCAGCCCAGCTTGTAGCCCTGTTGCTGGACACATCTAGTCACTTCACTCAGAAACGTAGCCATCTGTCTGTGGGTTGCCAACTGATTGTTTCCATGAGGTTTCTGGGAGAATCTGGAGAAGAAATAGAACATTTCTCAGCCATTGAACGCTACTTCCCAGCAAAATTGTGGCTACATCCAAACATTGGGAAAGATGATGGTTTACATAACCAAGGTTTAACCAAGCTGATTAGGGCACAACTCTTCCAGCCAGGGACAAAGGATCAAGAATGGATAGTGAAATTTGATGCACAAGGTAGCATGACAATCTCTCCATTGCCTTGCAAAATTGAAACTGAGAATGAAACAGTTTCTGAAAACAAGCTTTCTGTTTCTGAAGTTGATACCATTCTGTCTAACTCCCGGTCTTAAGGACTTCTGAACAATCCTTTCATCACACATTTCATTAATACAGAATGTGATTGTTTTTTAAAAAAATCAAAGTTTGGGTATTTCATTTAGACTGAAATGGCAAGTAATGTAATCAATTTTATTGTTGCACAAAGTTGGAGGTAGCTGGTATGCTATTTGGGCAGTTAGGAGAGTATTCTCTGCACTGTGATTCCTGTGGAAGGGGTGGTGGCTTGGGCTGCTTCAATTTCTTCTCATTGATATGGATTTGTTAGCCCTTGGAAGAAAGGAAGGGGGTCCCATAATAGACTATACTTTGCACAGTAATTGTCCTAGGTTCTTTCAGGAAGCCATGTAGGAGAAGCCTTCTAAAATGTCTACTTGGCGAGTGTCAACAGGGCCTTTTGACACAGGCCCTCCAGCTGCTATTTACAAACTGGCTGGAAATGAAGCCAGATTAAGGCATCCCTTATTCAGATTTCAGCCCCCCTCTTTGCTTTAGCTAAAGTTATGGCCTGATAATCATTGGGCATTATGTTTACATAGACCCTGATCAGTGGATTTTCCTGTTTCCTTGAATCAATAAAAAAGGGCCATCCCTTTCATTGCTCTATTAGTGAGCTTGTAAAAATATTTTTAATACCACAATTTCAGACACACACTTACCTAAAATGCAGCTTTTGCTGCTGTTCTGGTGAACCTGTGGAAAAAAATGGCAATGGAAGACAATTACTAGAGGGGTAAGGATCTTCCATTAGCCAATGGGAGTATAGGGGACTGCCTGCAGTGAGACGGGACACGGCAATCAAGCCAGGCAGCACCACCTGAGCTGGCCCAAGGTAGAAAACAAAGTTTGAAGTGTAGCAGAAAAAGACAGGCAGAGATTATCTGAGTGCAGATAGAGAATAACGTTTAAGAAATAGGGCAGAGTCATCATGCATATGACTCTCAAGAACAGGGCTCTTCAACTCTTCAACCCTTTCAGATCATCATTGATCCCCAATTATATGAAAATAATAAATACAGTACTATTATTTTAATAGCACTACAAGAAATAATATTCTTAGATGGTTTCATTGACTTTTTGGAGTTGATACTGATCACTTTGGGGAATCCTGTCTTGGAGGAATGGCATTACTATAACCTTCCCCATCTAAAACTACCATTTGTCCTTGTGGATAAGCTGAGTCTTGGATTTTTAACAAAATACCATGCACAATGTGCCACTGCAGTTAGTCTGCCCTGCATTTCTCATGGTATTTTGATAAAAATTAGAGTCTGCTTATTTGCAGAGAGGCTAATACATGAATATGGGAACATGTATCTTTAAAAAGTAATTATTTTTATAATTGCCATCTCTAAACCGCCCCAAATCATTTATCATGCCTAAATTTTATTGATTAAAAAAACAAGCTGAACCCAATTTTGAGGTATACTTGGCACCTAAAATTCTCAGTTTATCCACAAGAATATGTGGTGTATCAGCCAGCAGAGCTGAAAAGCTGCATCCCTGAGAGTGGCTGCAAAGAGGCTTCTGTTACACTGTTAGAAACTATCATTACCATGAAGCAAGGCCAAACCCAGGACTCCAGTATGCTGTTCAAAGGGTGTGAGGTTAGATGTAACAGTTCCTGAGTGTAAGATCAGAAGCTGAAATCTTCAGAGACTGCCTCCTCTCTCGCCTTCCTGTGTGCTTTTTACAAAATTGAATCGAAACCTGTGAAATCAGAATGTGCCAGCAAGAAACTGCTTGCACTGAGTTACAGCTGGTTTGGCAGTACTAGCAAGGCTGTGGAGGTTATTTGTGGAGAAAAAATGGGGATAGAATAGATCTGCTTAACATCCTAATGGAGTAGAGCAATATTTCTCAAACTCAACAATGTTAAGATGTGTGGACTTCGACTCCTGGAAGGGAGACCCTTGCCGGGGGATTTTGCAAAAAATTTACCATGTCAGACAATGGAGCAAGAGAGGGGGAAAACTCCCTGGAAAGAGAGCCGCTGACCCAGTTGGAACCTTGCCAGATGTTGGGATCCGAGAGGCCAGATTCCTCAGGAGAAGAAGTGGTGGAGACACAGGACCACAAGCCTCGCTGGTCGATGGGCGTTGGAAAGAAAAGTGAGTGGGGAAAGGAATCAAGAAAGGTGACCCTGAGACGGGGGACCAAGCAACCAGAATGGAAGCAGGAGATGGAGAAATCCCTGCACGCAAGTGAAGAGGGAGGAAGCTGGGCACCGTACTCAGACTGGATCCTAGAGAAAGCTATTGACCTGATGAAGAGAACTCTCAGCTCCCTAGGAGAGGAGAATCCTGAGCCCTACGGCCGCCCCAGCTCCTGGAGCCGCAAAGGAAGAAACACCGAGGGGGACGTGGAACCTGCAACCCCGGGGACAGCCACTGATCCAGTAGCCCCCACCCCCTACCGGACCACAGATGGCAACCTGGACGGAAGACATTACCACCCACAACGGAGGCACCGATCCATTCCAAGACGTCCACCGTTGGAGGTGAAATTCAAAGGGGAGCCAACACGCTTGGGGTTTTTCCTAACCCAAGTCCTCAGCTACATGGAGGAATACGGGCAGGACATTCCCAGCCACAAAGCCCGCATCCGGATCGTGCAATCCGCCCTGGATGGACCGGCTGCAGATTGGGTGGTGAACTTGCATGACTCCAATGCCCCAGAACTCAGTAACTTCAACCGTTTCATGTCCTCTTTGAGAAGACGATTTGAAGACCCCCTGGCTGATCGCAAAGCCCGTGAAAGAATAACAACGATGAGGCAAGGCAAACGCCCAATGGCTGAGTATACACAAGAATTCCGGGCCATTGCCAGCAAACTGAATTGGCCCGAAGACATCCTCCTTGGCCATTTCAAAGACGGACTAAACTATGATCTATATGATGCTTGCCTGCCCCGAGGGGACCCACATCGACTTGAGGAATGGTACGTCTTGGCAGAGGAAGCAGAGATCGACATATTGAAGAGGCATCGCCGAGGAAAACAATGGAGCCGCCCCCCGCCTGAGCTGACACACCAAACGGTGAAATCATCGGATACAGCCAAGAAGCAGATGGGGTGTTTCAAGTGCGGAAGAGAAGGGCATCGAGCTGTAGAATGCCGCTCAAAGGCCCCCCAGCACAACCCAGACAGATCCCCAATCAACAAACCCAGAGGGTATTCAGCTAAGCCAAAAGAAACAGCAATGAAAATGATGGAAATTGCAGAAAACCCCACCTCTGCTCACCAAGTGGAAAGAACTCCAGCCTACACCACAGGGACGGTGGATGCCTCAGATGACAGCTCGGAAGGCGAACCCCTGGTAAGTGGACGCATCACACCCATCTTCAAAACAGTGACTATATTAATCCCCCCCATGCCCGAAGCTGTGAAGGTGAAAGCCTTAATAGACTCTGGCTGCACCCGCTGCCTCATTAGCCCAACACTAGTGGGGAATCTGGGCATCCCATCCAGGAGACTGGAACAACCAATCTCATGTGGCCAGTTAGATGGATCCATAGCAGGGGGGGTGCCAGCTACCCTAGCCACTCTACCAATACACCTCTCCCTGGGCAAACATGAAGAGGACATACCGTTTGTGGTGACCCCAGGTATGGAATGCCCAATGATTCTAGGGATGGAATGGTTGAAAAAATGGAACCCCTGGGTAAATTGGAGGACGACAGAAATCAAATTCCCGAAGGGGGACCCTATGGACTAAAAACCCCAAGAGAGGCTACCAGAATCAAGAATAGAAAAAGCATCCATAGGAGAGGAAAAAAGATTAACAGAAATACCAGAGGAATATAGGGACCTTGCTGAAGTCTTCAGTGAGCAGAGGGCGAATGAGCTTCCCCCCCACCGACCCACAGACTGTACCATTGAATTCAAGCCTGGGGCAAAACTCCCGAAGCCCAGATTATACTTCATGAGCCCAAAGGAGAAGGAGGAAATGGAAAGATTTATAAAAAAAAACCTAGAGAGAGGTTTCATTGAGCCAGCCAAGCCTAAAGTGGCTGCCCCGGTCCTTTTTAGAGAGAAGAAGGATGGCTCTTTACGTTTATGCGTGGATTATAGGGCCCTGAATACAATCATTGAAAGCAACCTATACCCTCTGCCCCTCATGAAGGACATGCTGTCACACCTATCGAAAGGGAAATTTTTTTCTAAACTAGACCTAAGGGAAGCTTACTATCGCGTGAGAATTAAGGAAGGGGACAAATGGAAGACTGCATTTAACTGCCCCATGGGGTGCTATCAATTCAAAGTGTTGCCATTTGGATTACAAGGGGGCCCTGCAGTCTTTATGCAATTAATCAATGACGTTCTAAGGGAGCACCTGTTTAAGGGGGTCCTTGTGTACTTGGACGACATTCTTATCTTTACTGAAACAAAAGAGGAACACCTCAACCTTGTCAGGGCGGTTTTAAAGAAGCTGCGAGCCGCCCACCTATATGCCAAACTCTCAAAATGCGAATTCCACCAGGAAAGGATAGACTACCTAGGCTATCGCATATCCCCACAGGGCATTGAAATGGACCCAGAGAAGGTCAAAGCAGTATTAGATTGGGCGCCACCCCACACAAGAAAGCAACTACAAAGTTTCCTGGGTTTTGCAAACTTTTACCGCCAATTCATCCCCTCATTTGCCCAGATAGCCTTGCCCCTCACTAACTTACTAAAAACGAAGGGAGCATCCTCAGTAAAACCTAGCCAGCCACTAACATGGACAATGGAGTGCCAAGCAGCGTTTGAGAGACTAAAGAGACTTATTTGTGCCGACATACAAGCCCTTGTAATACAGGCAGATGCAAGTGATGTGGCAGTGGGGGCTGTGCTATTACAAGAAAATGATGATGCAGTATTGCAACCCTGTGCATATACATCCAAGAAACTCACGGAAACAGAACAGCGCTGGCCCGTATGGGAGAAGGAGGCTTATGGGATACGTTGGGCATTACTCACGTGGCGACAGTTCCTGGAAGGCAACAAAATCCCCTTCCAGGTGTGGACTGATCACAAAAATTTAGAAGCCCTGAAAACTTCCAGGAAACTCAATCCCAAACAAGCCCGCTGGTCCCAGCATTTTCACCAATTCCAATTTAAGCTCAAACATTTACCAGGAAGAAAGAACTTCCTGGCAGATGCACTATCTCGCATGCCCCAATATAACAGCGCACAAACCACAGACTCTAGACCAATAATGGCAGAGTCACAACTGGCAGCACCAGTAACCACAAGAACCCAAGCCAAAATAAAACCACAACTGGACAGCCAAACTGGGATTGAATTCAGAAAAAGTTTGGAAACAGGTGAATGGTTCCAGAAAAACAAAAATGTGTGCACAATGAGAGACGGGTTGCCTTGGGTAGGGGAAAAGTTATATATACCAACAACCTAAAGAGTAACTTTCATGCACCTTTGCCATGACACAAAATCAGCAGGGCATTTTGGATTTGTAAAAACTTTACATTTAATTAAACGGCAATTTTGGTGGCCATCCATGAAAAAGGACATTGAAAGTTATATAGCCAGTTGTCCAAAATGTGCCACGGCAAAGAGGTTGCAAGGGAAAGTGCCAGGACTATTGCAAACAGTGGCAAGTCCCTCAGCCCCCTGGAGAGAAATAGCCATGGATTTTATAGTGGAATTGCCAGAAAGCAATGGGAATACTGTGGTCTGGACGGTCACGGACTTGTTTTCCAAACAGGTGCACTTTATCCCTTGCCAAAAGATTCCCACTGCAAAAGCCTTAGCAAAACTTTTCATCCAACACATTTACAGATTGCATGGGGCACCCCAACGCATCATCTCTGACAGGGGGGTGCAATTTACGTCTGCATTTTGGAAGGAATTTTTATCCCTCTTAGGAACCACTCAGGGACTGACATCTAGCCACCACCCACAAGGAAATGGATCGGCTGAAAAAATGAACTCCGTACTTAAGCAATATTTAAGATGTTTTCTTAGTTTCCAGCAGACCGAGTGGGCGGGCTTACTCACTTTTGCAGAAAGTTGCCTACAATAATGCAGTCCACTCCAGCACAGGTTACACTCCTTTTCAAATAGCCACCGGTCAAAGTTTCAACCCCATGCCAGAATTAACCCCAAACGAACCAACGATCCCTTCGCTGAAAGAATGGATGGAGAAACTACAAAACACCTGGCCAATAGTCAGAAAAGCACTAGATAAAGCTAGGCAGGCATACAAAACACAAGCAGATAAAAAAAGGGTTGAGCCTACACCATTCATTATAGGAGAAATGGTGTACTTATCTACAAAATACCTAAAGTCCCTACAGCCCTGTAAAAAACTTGGACCAAAATATATAGGACCTTTTCCAATTAAAAGAATCATAAATCCAGTAACAGTAGAATTAGAATTACCCAAAAATCTCAGGCAAATACACCCAATTTTTCATTGCAGCTTGCTGAAAAGAGAGCATCAGTCACCTCTACGGCCAAAAATCCCCCCACCACCACCTCCACTCATGGTGGAGGGTGAACAACACTTCGAAATAAAGGAAATCCTTGATTCTAGGAGATATCATGGAGCAACTCAGTACCTAGTTGCCTGGAAACACCTCCCTCCCTCACAAAACGAGTGGGTCCATAAACGTCATATCAGAGCCCCGAAGCTATTGAAGAAGTTTCACACAGAGTATCGTAACAAGCCTGACTAAATTTTATACTTGTGTTTTCTTTCAGGTGGATCTCTCTTATTTTTAAGAGGGGCCGGATGTCAGAATCCAATTATATTTCATTTTTAATTATCAAATATAGAAACTCCCAATTCTGCCTTCTCTGGATTCTGCCATAAGAGGGAGAGAAGGGGGAGAACAAAGGGGCTTTATGGCCCTCACTTCCTTCAGTATACTTCAAGGAGCTGAATGCTGAATGTGTGTTTATTGTAACCTCAAAGCGTTAGCACCAAAGAACCTTACCATAACAAAGAAGGGTATTTGCCTTTCATGTAGTTATCTGAAGTCTCCATCCAGACGGAAGAAAGAAAAAAGGGGGTGGAATTGTGATACCTGAAACTATCACTGGAAGGGGGGTTGATTGGGTGGGACTACTGGGGAACCCCTTAAAACCTTGAATGGGAGGGCTTGGACCCCAAGTCCTGTCTAGCACGCCTGCAACCACTTCTTCTTAATAAAGGATTCTTGTTGGAAGAATTATTCCAAGAGTTCTGTCTTCTTAAGATGCAAAGTGGGGTGGGTCCTTACAATTCTGCAGCCAGAATGAGACCGGGCTATGTCAATAGGTCGTGAGGGTGGGTGGGTCCCAGTGGACTGGTGACATTTTAAGATGGTTCCATCATTGTTAATGCCTATTCTCTCTTGTGCCAGGTAATGTATATTTTAAATATGGATTGTTTTTATATTTTTAATAATTGTCAGGTCTGCCATCTTTGGTTTGGCAAAGGGGAAAGGGGGCACGGGAGAGCAAATGGGCAATAAACATGTATGGGGATGTGATGGGAAATGGGGAGAGGGGATGACAGCTTCAAAGACCAGAGTAGTATGACTCTGCTTAGAAAGCACTTTGAAGTGGTATATAAATCTAAGTGCTATTGCTTTGTATGTCTCACAGTGCAGTTCTCAGCTGGTAATGGATGTGACTTACAGCTGAAAAGATGGCCTACCTACTGTATCTGGTTAAGGAAGTCTTAACTACAATAATCTGTTTCAACTACCACCTTAAACTGTGGATTATTTAGCATCTGGGTTTGCCCAACACCTTGAACTATAAAACAGTTTATAAAACAAAATGACTAGGTTCACACATCACTAAGCCATTACTAAGTAGCCCATGATCAATTCAGGTCTGTTCTTGGCTGCTAAGAGCCATAAATGGGAGAATTCCATCAGATAAAATTGCCCAAATCCCTGGACTGTAGACTAGTTTGGGAAGTAAACCAAATCACCTTAGAAAATCACTTCTGTACCATCAGCAAGAAATTGCATAGTTCTATCCACAAAGTCACCTGGAGTGGGACCTCACTGGAACAACATTTTCCTGTTTTTCTTTTAATCCTGCAACCTGGACTGCTGCTCTGAGGATCTGATCAAGTGCTGATCTACACATTGGTTCACAAGACAAAAGAAACCCATGTCCACCAGCTATGTGATGCAAAGAAAAACTAACCATATGAAGTGATAAGGAATGGAGGAAGGAATGAGAAAACACTAACAAATGTAAGATGATAAAGTTGTATCATTTTTTAATTCTCTCTAGTTAGAACACAAGGGCCTTTATTTTTAAAGATCTAAGTTAAACACACACATTTCCAGTCTAAATTATCTTAATAATTACAAAAAATACTACGTAGGCATGTCAATAACACTTAAAGTCTTGGTCTGAAACACCCGTAATTTCAATCCAGTGTGCTGATTTTGAAGGAACTCAACATGATGTTCATGTCTAGATAGCATGAACATCACAAGTCATCCTTGCAAGGACAAATAACAGTAATTTTCTAAACAACCCATGCACAGTGACAGTAAACAGCTGGTGGAATACCAAAGCAGTGCTCTAGGAATCTGATAATTGGGGCATCTTGTCTATCAGATATTTCCTTAATATTTTAGCCAGGTTTTGTAGATGGGGAAGCAAAAGTCACTGAGTGAATTGCAGTTGAATGAAACTCCAGAAATTCTTAATTTGTAAGAATTCTTGCTCCAGTTCCTGAATTTTGCTTCTTTTCTGGTGCTGGAAAAAATCCTGCAGTCTCCTGGCCCAGGCCCAGATGGTATATTTAAAACTTGTTTTTTATAATACATCATGAAAATAATTTTTCATTTTTTTTTTAAAAAAAAAGTAATCTGCCCAACCCAAGAACTTAGAAAGGCAAAGACAGAACCAAAGAAAACTGTTATATTCCTCTCCTTACTCTTTGAGGTGACATAAAGAGAACACCGTCCAATCTTGATATGGAGTGTTGGGCTGATAGTTACAGCTGGCTGGAAAGCTGCTACTCTATGCCCCCCCCAAATGCCTCTTGATTAAGTTTAACAGCTTCAAAGGTTTGTCTGTATGAGAACAAACAGGGTCATGATCAAAAGTAATGTTAATAGGTTCAGTGCATAATCGTGAAGGCAATTATGCTGCCTGCCTTTTCTTTTATCCATTTCCCCCCATCCGTTTTATAAATCACTTTTCCTCTATAGGAGCAGCTTCGCCAGCCAGAGTAGTTATGGTAATCAATGGCTTTCCCATTACTGAAGCTTTTTCTCCTGGGAAGAGCAAAAATGGTATGGGACAGCTGGGTTGGTATCTTTCTGCTTCAGTTCTTTGATTTGTTCACTGGTTCCATGCTTGTTAAAGCTATGAACATGTAATATAGGTAGGCAGAAAAGGTGGTGCTGGTGCTCTATCACAGATGTTGGTGTAAAGACTGGTGGGGCCAGCAGTGGAGTCCACAAGGCTGTAGTCAGCAGAGATCCCTGAGTCGGACACCATCTGGTAGCTGCTTTTGAACTGGAGCTCTGCCTGGTGGCCTTGTGGAGAGAGACTTTCGGAACTGGGATCAAACACAGTGTACTCAAAGCTAGAAGAAGCTTGGCTGGGCTCTGTAATTCTTGCTTCTTCAATCAGTCCCAGGTCTGAATCCTCGGTACTCTGGCTACCCAGCGAAAATGGAGAGTCATTTCCTCCTAAGCAGCAAGGCATCACATTTTTATCCAATATTAGATAATCATCCAGGGACAGTTCTAGAGCACAAGGAAGCTCCACTGGAGTGCAGCGCTTGGGGGGAAGGGGAGGAGGAAGGAGAGGGCTATCCACTTTGTGGCCATCACATTCAGATAATAGTTCCACCAAAAATGGTTGCTCCTCCAGATAGTGGGTATTCTGGCTCCACCAAGGATAAGTGCTTTGATGGCCCAGCCACAACTGTAAAAAAGAGAAATGTGTCAAGGAACAGGATGTAAAACATGCCCTTTCTCTTTTTTTTTTTTTTTTCTGCATCCCATTATATGAATCTTTGGGTTTTCACTCCATAAGCATTTATGTTTCCAAACATTTTATATCAAGCTAGCTTTGTACAGCTGTTTAATAGCAATAATGAGAATATGTTGAATCCTGAACATTCAGCAGAGCTCCTAAGTCCCACCTTCATTTTCCTATAGGGTGCCAATATTTTTCATTAGGATTCTTTGGCTCCACAAGTATGCTTGTCAAACAGCTGTCCAGGATAAAAATATGCAATGCCTTACTCCTATACCTATCATTAAGAGGCCTCATTTTAAATAGCTTTCACTGTCTTTTATGTGCTCTTATCTGTTCTAATAGGTCATTAATGGCTTATTGAATAAGTTGTCAATTGTGGCTAAAAAATTGTTCAGAAGCTTCAGATTTACAATTCTTTTTAGAGAGTGTGGCATTGCTGGGAAACATTCCAATTGGTTTAGACTATTCTTATTCTATATATTAATCAAATCTTTGCACATGCTTAAATGGACCCTACTTTTCAGATATGGTCTTTGTTTTCCAGTAAATCTCAATCCCAATTTGGATAATGGGACATTAGAAGAACAATGTTTTAAAACTATTGTTAGTGCTTATCATTTTTCAAATTCCTATACAAAGGGATATATTTTAGGAGTGTACAGTTTTAATCCAATGCGCTGGCATACAAATGCATGCATATGAACATATATTTTAATATAGTTTATCAACAAAGATATTGCTATCTCTACATCTTGGAGGATTTTTCATAACATCCTAATGTCATATGGATTAATTCTAGTGCTTAAGTTTCCAAATCCCTTGTCCAATCCAAATACTTGTTCCTACTTTAATTGTTCTTTTTTATTGAAAGTGTTTGGCCACCAATTGTTCCTTAATTTAGAATTAAGAATGTAACTTGGGTACTCTTAAGAATACCACTATAACGAACTTTGCTGTAGTGAGACTAGGAGGAAGTAGATTAGGAGGGGCAGGCAGAACAATACCTGGAAGTTGCCTTTGTAGATGGTGAAAAGGTCTTTGAATTCATGCTCTGGGGAGGGTATGACAGGCCAGATCTTCTTTTTCAAAAATCTGGTGAAAAATAATAGGACAGAAGAACACTGTTAAAAAAAATAAAGCACTTCTCCCCACTCTTCATGCTTAGCACAGGTAGTCTATAACATACAACTATTCATTTAACGACTTTTCAAAGGTACAATGACACTGGGGAAAAATGACCATCCCCATGGTCATGTGATCAAAATTCAGGCACTTGGTAATTCAGGCATGCATTTACAACAGTTGCACTGTTCTGGGATCATGTGATCACCATTTGTAACCTTCCCAGTAGCTTCCAACAAGCAAAGTCATTGGGGAAACTAGATTCATTTAATGACTATGTGGTCCGCTTAACAACTGCAGTGGTTCACTGCAAAGTATGGCAAAGATGTTCATAAAATAGGGCAAAACTCACTTAACATCTGCCTTGCTTGGCAACTGAAGTTTTGGGCTCAGTTGTGTTCATAAGTCAAGGACTACCTGTACTACAGCTAAGTCTAGAAATGTTCTTATATTGCCTCAATCCGTAACTCTGGAATAATGAAGGAGAATATCCATTTGATTGATTTCAATGGGAGAAGAACTCTGGTTTCTCAATGTGACAGAGCTGTACCTGTGGTTGGACATCAGGATGATGAAAGCCAAAAGCAGGACAATTACAATCAAAATGATAGAGAGTATCAGAATGAGTGGGTCCAGATCTGTAGGGAAGAAAATCAGGTTAGTTACTCTATAAAAATGTTATATTTCTTGATTATCTTCATTGGAAGGACCTGGCTACATTATAAAACTACAGTATTGATTAGATAGAAGCTAGTGAAGAAATTGCTTAAACTGACGTAGCAGCAAATTTTGAAAGGTGATCCACCAATATATACTGATACTTTTTCCGGATTGTAATCTATATAGTTTTTCAAAAGTGAACCATGATGATTAAATACTGAAGATTAACTAGAACACTATTTTAATTGGATCACCATGTTAGAATCCGTGGAATCAAATTGTGATGATGATGGTTGTCACTGCATTTTAAATAGTCAAATTCATGCTCAAAATGTATTTTTCTGTAACATCAAATCTCTCTTAATACCACCATTATTCATAATATCTTCCTGAAGGTTGTAATTTGATCCTTTGGATCAAATAATGAAGCGAATACGTTTTTAAAGTGCATGTCTCAAAGTTGTGTGTGTGTGTGTATATATACAATGCATTCAGAAAATATTCAAACCCTTCACTTTTTTTCTCAAATTAACAGGTGTATAATTTGGCATTAATCCACGTTTAATGCTAAATTCTAACAAAATATTAATAGTGAGGTAAAAGTGCAATCCTTGCCTCTGGATTAGAGTATTCTTTTTCTGCAAGTCTTTCATAGTATTTAATTTTAGCAGGGAGTTAAAGACAATAATTCAGTGTACATGCCAATAAACAACAGAGTTTAAAATAACAAGAGGCTATATAGGAATAGCTGCCCAGAAGCACATTTTGATTATTCTAAATAAATAAATGGTCCAAGAGGGGAAGATCTGTGGCTGAAAGAAAGATCTGTGGCAGAGTTGTTCCATCTCTTTTCAGGCTGAAAAATGTTTTGGTTTGTTTAATGCTTGGAATCTCTGATCAAGAGGCAGAGCTCGAGTGATAGAAAAATGGCAATAAAACAAAATGTGTCCTTGTTTAATTCCTTTATGAAAATGTATATGTTACAGCAATTTAAATTTCCAAACAGGAATGTTCCACCTACTGTATCAGAAACTACCCTCACATATAAATGTAAAAATAAGTGGTTTATTGTACATGCACTATGCATTTTTCCAATGTACAAAATAATTAAAACTTGAATTTCACAATTTCACAATTACTTGGGATTTTAAACAGATCAATCAATATTCAATGACTGAGATATGCTTGCCTTTCGCTAAAAAATATTATGGATGTCCCTGACTGTTCAAATGGCCTTCTTAGGAGTTGTGGGGGTGGGTTGGCTTGTATTCTTACATGGAACTCCATCACTTTCTTGCAGAACCTTATGGTTTCATGAATCAGTTTGAAAAATCCTACTTTGGAGAGATTCTTTCATGGAAGAAATGGATGCTTCCAAGTGAAGTGGCAGAGGTAGATTTAGCTCATTTTGAAATGTGAAAAAATAGGCATTGCCAAGTCAGGAATAATTAACCTATAGTTAATTATCTAAATGTACTACTCAAAGTACAAATGGCAGTTCTGAAAATGGACTCTGAAAGAAAATGAAAATGAAATGGAAAATGAAAGCAAATAGAGAAGAGTCATAGAAAATGACTTGGATACCTATATCCAAGAGATAATTAAAGGATAATGTATAGAAATCATCAACACAATTTTTCATATCGGTGGAATAAAATCAGATAATTTATTACATTTTTAATGCTGAAAATGTTTTCAGAACATTGGTCTTTCCTTTCTCAAGCATTAATGTCTTTAACTTGGGAGAAATTTTGATTGAAGCTATTAGTAACTGCTCAGTTGCAAGAATAGTAACTAAAAGTCACATTTCAAAGTTATTCGCAATCTGCAGTATTGTCTGGGACACTACACATCCTCTTCAGGACCTGTTTTCTTCATTATCTTCTAGGAGGAGGCTGAAGCAGACCATCCAGATTCAATCACAGTTTTGTTCCATACAATATTAACCTTGTGAACTCTCAAACTTCCTCTTTCTGCTATATGTATTCAAGACAGACAGTGATTAATATTTATATGTATTTATATGGAAGGGTGTAGGTATATACATATGTTATATATAGCATGTTTATATGTGTGTTATGTATCTGTACACTTTTGAGAACAGGCAACAGAATTTCATTTTTAATGTGTGCCAGTGTGCCCATAGTAAAAAATGACAATAAAGGTTATTTTATCTTATTTGAATACAAGCACAAGACATAATGTCTTTATTTTCTAGAAATCTTCAGGTATAATCGTAAAATTTGCTTCCAAAAAGTTGGGTACTTAAAATAAAGCTAATAAAAGATAACACTGTCTTAACAGAAATGTCTTAATAATAGCAGAACATAAGTTTTATTTGGAGCTGGAGATGTTCATTTCAATACTGTCTGCAGACCTTAAAATTAACAAAGATAAAACAAAAAAATCAGTATTCTGAATGAATCTTGTATTATTTATGACATAGTACAGTTGTTAAAAATAGTCTCTGTTGCAATTACTGCTTTTCAGTTTAATCAAGTTAATAGAAAAAGTATATTTATAAATGTAATTAGTTTATACAGCCTATCAAGTGCTTTCAATCTGAATGCCTATTCTTTTAAAGGCCTGCCAATGAGGGGTTGCTAAGTCCTATTGAAATTTCTTCTAGCTATTGCCCCTTTAATTAATAATTTTCTGGTGAGAGTTAGGAATTGCTATTTCCTTTTTGTAGTTAGAGCAATATAGTATCAGTCCTTGATGTTTCTATACTGAGTCAGGAAAATAAAAGCCTTTCTAGCTGTACTCCAGAAGACATCCTTCTTTTTAAATTTCATGCCAGTGTCCTATGTGTAGCTTAGGTACCAGTCTTACAAAGGAGTTCGACAAAAAAAAAACTTGTTGGCATGAAAAGGTTAAGAAACTAGCCAAGAATCTTGCATGGAATTGTGTTGCATCCAAAAACCGCCTTAAATATATGTTTTACTTAGTATTACCTTATTATTTTCCTGGACACACTTAAGAATTTTTTATGTATGCCATCAAATTTCCCTGACAAAGAGAACATGTTTCTCTTTGGGGTCTTAAATACTCAGTATTTATTTTTATTGAGGCATTATCTTTTGTTAATTAAACGCATTTGCAGGCAAAAAAAAAATCACAGAAAACTATGAAGTTAGTTTCACATTGCATGTATAGCATTCACACAGGCATCTAAGATGATTAAGGGCCTGGAGACAAAAACATATGAAGAATGGTTGCAGGAATTGGGTATGGCCAGTCTAGAGAAAAGAAGGACTATGGGTGACATGATAACAGTATTCCAGTATTTGAGGAGTTGCCACAAAGAAGAGGGAGTCAACTTATTTTCCAGAAGACAAGACAAGAAATAATGGATGGAAACTAATCAAGGAGAGAAGCAACCTGGAATTAAGGAGAAATTTCCTAACAGTAAGACAATTAACAAGTGGAACATCTTGCTTTCAGAAGTTGTAGGTGCTTCATCACTGGAGGCTTTTAAGAAAAGACTGGGCAGTCACTTGTCTGAAATTGTGTAGGGTCTCCTGTTTTAGCAGGGGGTTGGACTAGAAGACCGCCAAGGTCCCTTCCAGCTCTATTCCGATAGACAGACAGACAGACGATAGAAAAAAGGCGTAGCTTATCCGATTCCTGTCTCCCCAGAGCTTTCAGTTACAGATATGTAGTTCTCTCTGGTTAATACCAAAGGGTGCGGGGGAGGTTTCTTGGTTCCTTCCTCTTGAAACTCAAGGTTGGTACTTTGCCCCAGAGCAAGCACTACATAGTTTGTATTTCTGTATATTTCTCCATTCTAGAGAATGAAGAAAATGAAGGAAGAGGATCTGGTACCATTGTGCAGCATGAGTCTAGGTATTATGCCCTTCAAGAGAAGAAATTTAGGGCTCAGTTACCATGGCAAGTGTGTTTAGTTAAGAAGTTTGCACTCAATCTGAAAGGTCAGCTTCACTATCTGGAAATGTTGCCTCCAGTGGCTGAAAAAGTAGCCTTGATTGCTTGAACAGCTTTTAATCAGTTCTGAATGACATATTGGATATACCTATATTCTGATAGCAAGGAGTAGTTTGGTGATACTTATCTATGCTTCAGTTATTTTTACTTCACCTGTGGCAATACCAAAAGCTTTCTTTGCCCAGCCCTCATGCAGCCAATATGCTCTATTAACAAAATATTGAAATGAGTAGAATCACAATAGGCGAGGTTTTCTTATGCCCTCTTCCTGAAATCAAAATGCAACTGAGACCCGCTACTCTTTCAGTGTGAATGAAATAACAGTACAGTAGCAGAAAGTAATTGATTGCAAGAGCATTACAGAGAATTGAATAGCTTTGATATTCTTCCCACCCCCAGGTCACTTGCTTTATTGGGGGGGGAGACCTTTGTTTCTTCCTCCTGAGTTGGAGGACTTTCTTATGTTTGTAGGGATCTCCACAAGAAAATGATTTATTTCTAATTGGAACCAGTTATTGAACAGACTGTGTAGCTGTTAGAACCCCAAAATGCTTTATAGTGGGCTGATGCTGTCTAGAATGTGTTTTATCATTCTGTGAGTCTTTGTGAGCTCTCCAGAGAATGGTGGCATTGGGAGGTCAACATTTAACATCACATATAAATGATACACTTGCCATTTGGTACTGTCACGGATACTTCCTGTGACCACTCACTCCAATAGCCGTCATAGCTGACTCCGTTAGGCTTGGCCCGAACAGCTAAAGTGTAGTGAGTGCCTCCTTTGAGATTCAGGAGGTAATATGTCTGCCCACTGGTACTTTCTACCTGAGGAGAGGAGGATAAAAAACTGAGTAAGGAGGAGGAAAGAAAGCAGAGGGTTGCTAGGGTCAAGAAACAAAGAGTCAGAGACTTACCCGTTGGGGTCTGTAGCCCTCAGGGGAGATGGACACTTCATAGTGGATACTGTTTTCCATGTATGCAATGGGGGGTGATTGCCAGCTCACATTTAGCTGCCCCGAGGATTCCATAAACTGCACTGTCAGGTTAGAGGGGGGGTCCAGGAAAACTGGGGACAAAGAAGAAGAGGGTGAGAACAGGCAAGCAAACTTACTTTCTCCAGTTCAGCAGATACATCAGGCAGTGGCCCTGAAGCTCCTATTTCTTTTCTAGATGCATTTCCTCAAATAATGTCACTCTAGCATTCCTCCCTAACCCAGGTATGTTGTTTAGGATAATGGGAAGCTCAGGACACCTTCATGGGTCACCCTTTCATGTTGAACATGGATTTCTTGTGACCAAAATGTAACAAAGTAAACCCAAATCTACACCAATAGCTTAGTGTGATGCAAGCAATTAATCTATTGTATTGAACTGGGAGTTTTTTCCCACCAGAGTGTGTTGGTTCATTTAATAGCCACCTGATGTATGAATATTCAATCACTGAACCTTTTCTTGATAAAGAGACAAACAGATGGAAAAGTTTGATTTGCTTAGTTATACAGTAGGGTTGTATATAGTTATACAATGGCCTCTCCTACAAGCAAAATTTAAGAACTAGTCCCTTGAAAGATAAAATGGTTAAAACTGCTTCCAAATAGTCATATCATTATCTTTCAGCTGTAACCCTATCATGCTTTCCTACTATTTATTGCTTTTTCTTATTACAAAAATAATCCAAGGGGAGAAAGAAGAAATAGCTGCACCACACTGAGCTTCTGGAAAAAATGTGAGAGATCCATCTAATAGATAAATAATGCTGGAAGCTCTTGTTTGCAAGCAATGGGAAGCTCAGCTTGGCACTCACTTGTAGGAAAAATGTTGTTTTTTTTTTCTTTTCACTCATATTCTGCAGTATGGGTCTATTGTAGGAGAAGAAACCCGAATAGGTGGAAGCAGTTCTGGTCTTGCCTCCAAGTTTTGAATGCACTAAATATGGATTCTTTCCATTTCCAGGTTAGAAAAGGATAATAAGACTCCAACAAACACAAACATACATAGCGACAGACAGACAGACAGACAGCCAACTGCAGAGGACTTACCAAGTCTTTCCACATATATTGTTCTAGTGTAGAGGGTGCTGTTAGAGGACAGCCCATCAAAGACTTTGATCTCCAGGGGGCTGAAAGCTGAGATATCCTGCCTTTGAAAGAAGCAAGTGTAGAGTGTTGTATTCCTGGATGTGTTCCTCACAGTCAAATTACAGGATTGCAGGGAGTTGTCTTCCCTGGGTGAAATCAAGGGGCAAAATAGGATTAATCTTGGGAGAAACTATTATGAAGAGCTCCTCCCTCCATTGTTCCCACCAGAAGCCACAGAATCAAAGCAAGGGGATAGATTTCCAGTCTTGAGGTTGGAAGCTTGACTGCTACTATAATTTTTGCTATCTGGTTTTTTAAAAGATCCCCGTCAATACTAGTCAAAGCATAGGACTGACATCTGCAAGTATTTTAACGATGATCTAGTTAGTTGCTTCAAATCCACATCTGAACTCTTCCTCATTTTACAGCTTTTCTCCTGAATCTCTAGCAAAGGATTCCCTACCAGCACCTCCAGATATCTTTCAAGTCTGTCAATCTGTATTGCCTATACATCTATAGAAACCAATCTTTTTCCTTGCTTAATTTCTGGGAATCTAGAAAGTAGAGGAATGTATATATTGGCAATTCAAGAGCTTGTCTTAGAAATGCTGGTGGAGCCTCTTAAGTTTGGGCAAGACGCAAAACTCATGGCCACATCCCTGGTGGAATATACTCTGGAAGTTTTCAGGTACACTTCACAGTGCCCTTGCCAACCAGGCAGCTTTCACATAAGTTGGACTACTAAGTGCCTACTCCTTCCTAACCATTATTGGGTGGGAGTGATGGTATACATCATTTGATATATCTAGGTTCACATGATTCCTGGGGAGGTAAACCTAATGTGTTTTAAGTTTACAGCTACACATATAATTTGAGAACCTGACCAGGAGGTGCTTGCAAAAATAAATATTGATAAGAGAAACAGGGCAATGTATAAGATTTGGGCTGAGATGCGAGTTGGAGAGTATATTGTATATCTAAAATAGAAATATGGCTGGACAATGTGAAAAGCTCTATTACAGACTTCATCAAGTTGAAACTTAGCTGGCTGAAGGATGATCCTAATCTGCTCCCTATATTAAGATGAAAATAGGTCTGATGTGGCAGGAAGTACAAATCACAGGAAGGGATCAGAGTCAGATGGGGCAAGAGGAGGCTTGGTCAGGGCTAAGTGGATTTAAGACAACAAAATAGCACTTGATATTCTTAAGAACAACATTTGGAGTGAGGACAGGCCTTCTCTACTACAATATATAGCATACTGTTGGAATATTCATGAGCAGGAAGAGTCATGTGATAATTCAGTCAGCCAATGTGAAGAAAGTGCTACTGAGTCTGTGCAAAAAGAGTATTGAGTTAGGAGCTGGATTTCCAGTCTCAGGTTTGTCTCTGTATCTGTCTGTAAGAAGTCTTCAATTGAGCTATGTTGCTGTAAAGAAGAATGTATGGTATTGTAAATATTTTTATATAAATATAAAGAAGTTATTTTGAATCAGCTAAATGCAGTCAACTGTGAGAGCTTCTGATTTATTTTTTCACCAATAGAGAAATTAAAATTCTCTAACAGGTTATGGGCCCAGAGCTTACTAAGGACTGCATTGTAATTTAAAGCTGGAAGAAATTGCCTGTGTTTAGAAAGTATAAGAACAAGGCAGAATTAGCAGAATGGCTGCAATGAAATTTAAGGAAAGCTGTGTGCCTCGTTTGGGCCAGAAGAATTACATTATATGGCCTGCAAAAATGGAATGTTTGCTGAAAGCTAAAGAGCTGTGGTATATTGTAGAAAATCCACCACAAGTATTTGCAGCTGCTGATCAGAAGAGTCATGATCAAGCAATGGCTTATCTCATCTTGAATTTAGATGATGAACAATTTCTAAATGTTGCAAATTTAAAGACTGCAAAGGAGATTTGGTTGAAGTTGAGAGCTGTGCACGTGAATGTTTCTGCATGCAATATAGTGCAATTGTCAAGAAAACTTTATAGGGCCTGTTTGCAACCAGGTGAATTTGTGGAATGCAAAGTTTATTTTTGGACTTAGAACAACATGGGATTAAATTCCCTGAGTCCCAGAAGGTTTTATTGGTGTTGAACAGTTTAGATAAAACCTGGGACACAGTTTCTACCATATTTGAGTGTAAAGAAGAGCAAGACTTAAATTTTGAGGCTTTAAAGGCATGTTTGCTTAATGAAGAAATAAAGCGCCATTTTAGAAGCAGCCACGAGGAGGAGAAATTCCTGAGGAGGGGGTCCAGACTGCAAGTCTCTGGAGGAGAAGAAACAAGCAGATCGGACCCTGACCAAGTTGCAACAAAGGAGAGATTTTGCAAGCGGAGAGCTGCTCAGCGAGAAAAGAATTGCTACATTTGTGGAGCAAACAACCATCTGAAAAGGAACTGTTTGCAGCGAAGGACATTTGTGCAACCAAAAAGGACTGATTTGCAAAAGGAATATTTTGGTGTTGCAAAGGTTTGCTATAGCAACAACAGAGACAAGTGGCTAATAGATAGTGGGGCAAGTCAAACAATTGTTAATTACTCTGAATTATTTTGCAGGTTTGTTCCAGTAGCACAAGAAGCTGTGGCTTTAGCAAATGGCCAAAAAGCAAAAGTAATTGGAAGAGGCGATGTAAAAATTTCATATTTGGAATCAAAGTTTACCAATGTGCTTTGTGTACCTGAGATGGAACATAATTTGTTAAGTGTGTCTAATATAGACAAACAAGGTTTTGAGATCATTTTTGTAAATGGGAAGTGTCTCATCAAAAGGAATGGGAATATTTGTGCAGAAGGCATAAAGGAAGATAATCTATATGTATTGCAGGGACAAAAGGTTCAATGTTCCCATATATTTAAGAATGTTGCAGAGCATGATTCGTGTGTTCATCTTCTACATAGAAGACTTGGCCATGCAAGCTTTAAAGTTTTGCAGCAAATGCAAGATTTTGCAGAAGGGTTAAATTTGAAGGGATGCAAAACATATTTGGATTGTGCAGTATGCAAAGCATCGAAGTCAAAGACATTCCCAGTTAGTAAATATAACACAAGACAAACAAAAAGAGTTCTAGAGCTGGTGCATGCAGATCTGGTGGGACCTATGCAAGCCAGTTTGGGAGGAGCAAAATATGCACTGGTAATTGTTGATGATTATAGCAGGTATAGTTTTTGCTACTTGCTTAGAGCAAAGACAGAGATGCTACAACAATTCAAACAGTGGGTAAGTTTTGTAGAGAGAAGGTACAGACAACAAGTGTGTCAGTTGCAAACTGACAGAGGTACTGAATTTATGTCAACTAAATTCCAACAATGGTTGGGGCAGTTGGGGATAAGACACAGACATACAAATCCTTACACAGCAGCAGAGAACGGTATAGCTGAAAGAAGGAATGGTGTTTTGCAAACAATGAAAGATTCATTCTAGAGGATTCAGGTATGAGCAGGTCATATTGGGGAGAAGCCATATTAACTGCAAATTATATAGTTAACAGGCTGTGGAATTCCTCCATTAATAATACTCCATATGCCATTCTATATGGGAGAAAGCCATCACTGGCACATTTGAGAATTTTTGGAAGTACTGCATGGGTACATATTCCGAAAGCAATCAGAAGAAAGGGACAGCAAAAGGCAAGAAAGCTCAGGTTTGTGGGCTATGAGCCAGGGTCAAAAGGATATCACTTTAGCGATGGAAATAAAAGAATTATAATTTCAAGGTCTGCTAATTTTGCAGAACAAAATTGGGACAGAATTAATGCAAATTCTGGGTATGTCTCACTTAATGACAGTGATCTATTTAATGACAATAACTCATCTAATGATAAAAAAATGATTATTGAAGATGTCAATGTTCAGGGAGGAGAGGCTGAACAAGACATGAAGCCAGAAAGACTTGAGACACAGGAGCAGTTAATACCACGTAGGTCAGAGCGATGTAACAAAGGAATTCCGCCTGACAGGTATTCTGCCAGCAAGGTAAAGGTTTGCAATGTGTGGTATGAGCCAAGAAGTTATAAAGAGGTGTTGGCATTACCAAAAGCTGAACAAGAAAGATGGAAGGAGGCCATGGATAAAGAGATGAAATCCATGGGAGACCATGAAGTATTTAAATCAGTGACTTTGCCACAGGGAACCAAAGCTGTGGGTTGTAAGTGGGTATATAAGAAAAAGGTATTGCCAAATAATGATGTACAATATAAGGCCAGGTTAGTGGCACAAGGTTTTTCACGATTAAAGAATGTATTAAGTCAATAGGTCTGATATCTCTTCCTGTCATGAAGGGAGGAGTGTTGGAATATTCATGAGCAGGAAGAGTCATGTGGTAACTCAGTCAGCCAATGTGAACAAAGTGCTACTGAGTCTGTGCAAAAAGAGTATTGAGTTAGGAGCTGGATTTCCAGTCTCAGGTTTGTCTCTGTATCTGTCTGTAAGAAGTCTTCAATTGAGCTATGTTGCTGTAAAGAAGAATGTATGGTATTGTAAATATTTTTATATGAATATAAAGAAGTTATTTTGAATCAGCTAAATGCAGTCAACTGTGAGAGCTTCTGATTTATTTTTTCATCAATATAGAAATTAAAATTCTCTAACAAATACTTACTCAAACTTGTAGCAAAAACTGTACATGCTCTGTTTTTTTTGTTCTGTCAGAAGTTCTGATACCTCCCAGAAACAGGCCAGATCTTCTAACTGCTGGGTGAAGCACTTGGGGTTCAAGAGCTCTTCTGTCAACAGGTGTGCAACTGGATGCAAAACAGAGAGACACAAGTTTAATGTTACCCTTTCATATGGAGAAGCAGGGATCACAAAACAACCATCCCTATCTGATCACTGGGCAGCAAAATTGTATCTTCTGAAGGTCACACAAAAGAATGCTGTGATGATTTTGCCAATTATGCCAATCTGATATGTTCCCCCAAATTAAGTAAGACCTCAGGCAAAAAAAAATAAAAATAGTGAGCCAATAACTGATTTAAGTCAGAAAAAAAATAACTTAGTTATTTGGAATGGAATGACTGGAATGTAAGAAAGTGGGTAAGTTACAAAGATTGTAAAAAATGAAGAAAATACCACATTATTGCCTGGTTAGGTCACATCCACATTCATCATAAGAAGTTATTTTAAAATGTCTCTAGGGACTGAAGTATGAACTGCTCATAAAAAAAATTAGTCTGCAAGACTGTCCCACAAACACATTCAGAAAGACATTAAAACAAAAGGGGGGGGGAATAGTTCCTGCTGTTTTTAATTCAATCCTTATTTACTATACACTGCAATTCTGCTAATAAATGATTCCAGGGAAATGCACTTCCTATATGCTACAAAAACTGCATTTGGGAGACAGCAGCTTAATAGCATTAAGGCTAGTGCTACTAGACACCGGCTGTAAAACCCCAAACAACTATTAGACGGTAACAGAGAGATAAAGAAAACTAACCAGTTTTTGACCCTCTCTCAGGCCATCTAGTGGCCGCCTGATCTTTGCAGCTCAGACTTGAGAGACTTGCAACATTCTACTGCACGGGTATTAAATTTGATCTCGTCCCGTGATGTATCGCAATTTTTTTTGCCTTTGCGGAGCTGGGGTGGGCATGGCCTGCGCCTGATGCATACGGCCTGCAGGCCATTGACTACTTCTGGTGGTAGCCTTCTGTGGATTGGATTGAAACTGAGAACTAGTTTATAGCAGCTCTGCAAATACAGTACTGTCTACATTATTGTCTTCCTTTCCAACTGTAGGTTGAACTGTGAGCATACAGTACAATAACATACAGTATACAGTAGTATACAGTGTAATTCATTGTAAGGCTGGATTGAAAAATAACTTTAACCCTGTAGTGCAGTCCTTTGTTAACGTTATAGGCTGCAGATGAGTTTCGTTCAAAATCCCAGGCAAAAATCTCTTGCAGCTTGCAGGGGATGTCATAGCAAACTTTGACATACTTAAATTCCTTCTCTTTCTGGCTGAAATAAGTTCCTGGTTGCATGACAGAGCCTTCTGCACTGGGCTAAAACTAAAGAAACAGAAGAGTCTTGGCTGTATTTTCCCTTTCTTTCAATTCCTTCAGCAATATGCACACCTCAGGAATATAGCAATGTGTTTTGGATTCTAGCTGGTAGCAGCGGATCGTAAACATGATATATTGTTTGCCAGAATCACAAGATTTACAATATTGTATGCATTGTACGACTCTGCTTCCTTATGAGTACATATGCCTACACACACATGCACACTTCGATAACAACCATCTCCATCTGACATGTGTTTCCTGAGATAAGGGACTCTGTCCCTGCTTTCCGTTCCTGCCATAGGTAAAATTCACATCAACCAAAAGATTCAGTTATACATAGAAATGCAGTAAATAAATGAATACAAGTAATAATGAATCTACACATAGCATTTGGATTTCTTTTGCTTTTTTTGCATTCCTCATGCTTTTCTTTATACAATTCTATGACATAACCTGCATAAGCATAAGTAAGAAGAGCTAATATACATGCTAGAAATTAAATAAATAAGTCTCGGTGAGTACTTTCTTCCAGGACACCTGAATTTGATAGCAAGATCTGTCTATAATTTTTTAACCATTTACAACATGGGGCTGTTGAATGGGAAATGGGAGTAAACAACAGGACTCCAGAGATGCAAGAGTATGCGATAGTATTTGTGCCCCAGGTTTGCATATGAATTCGTCTAGAAGCCAGGCGCATTAGTTCTTTTTAAATGAATGGGATCTGGGCAAAAGTAGTCTTTGGGCTAGCTTATTGTCTTTGAATTAAGTTTGGAGATTTACAAATCAAACACACACGTGTATGCACACTACCATATGCATACACACACACACACACACACACACACACACACACACACACACTGATTGGAAACACCCCCAAGGAAAAGGTAAAAGCTCTTAGAGAGTGTACTTGAAGTGGCGGGAGTGGAAATCTAAAAAGGTGGAAATCTAAGCATAATACCATTCTAGAGAAAAAAGACTTGTGAATAGTCTCATAGATATTTAGAAAAGTATTTGCTAAAGAGGACAAGACATCTCTTTGATTAGAAACAAGTTCTTAATTCCTTGGCAAGAAACCTCCATGCTTTGAGGTGTTTTTTTCAAATTGCCTCAAAGATCTCAATGGGGCAATCTCTTCGCCCTATTGCACTGCACAATGTACTTGAAAAGAAGATGATGAAGTAGCAGGTGCTCACCAGTTGAAAAAGTACATTCATTTCCTACTGTTAGATTAGGATCATATGATTTGAAGCTAGTTTCAATAGAATCTTTGGTTTAAACAAGAGAGTTTACCCTGAATTATTCACTTTGCAGCCTATAATGTAAACTAAACTAAACCACAATTTAAAGTAGCACAAAAGCTTGCTTTATTAGCAGAGGGAGATCTGTCAGTCCTCGCTGGATGTTGTAGTCAGGGAATTAAATTGTGAAAGATTCTTACATACACGAATGCATAGAGGGAGTGAGAAATTGTATGTGATTCACAACCTGTGATTACATTCACTCATAATGAGTTCTGGATATCTATGTAATACAGATGCATGTTCTTCTATGGTTAGGGTGAAACCCTTTTTTAAAGTATGCATTGGCTCCATGCTATAAATTCCATATGTCTGTTATTTTAACAAATCAGTAACAAATATCAATCCATGACCCTATATATAAAATAAAATAAAAATTAGACAGCACTTTTTCTGTTACCTTTATATAAAGGAACATTTTCAGATTCTAGAATTTTAAGGCTACCATAGCAGAGAGAAGCCATCTTGAAGAGGAAAATATATGGTGATAGTGTGTGCTTGGGCTCTTATACCTGCTTTAGCTGATATATGCAACACTAAGCCAAAAATTATTGCAGATGCAGGGTGGTTTGATTTGGGTGGCATATGCTTCATCTATGGTAAAAGTTTAACCCTGGCCGTAAGATTCATGCTATCAGGCAATCAATTGCCACGTGTTATATGGTGGAAGTGCAAAAGAAGATTTAGCTGACAAAGTGTCCATTGCCTCATGAAGTGCTACACAGAACAGAGATGATTTCGGAATGCAAGTTAATGACATATCAAGACAATTGATATTTGAAGAAGAGGGATTCAAAATAAAGACAAGAGAACAACTAGTAAGGGAAGGACTTGCTTGTGATTGGTTTAATTATTTTAGATTTTTTGAAATATTTAAATTTGATTTAAAAAGTTTTGTTTTCATAGGAACTACATCTGAATTGGATGTTAATTTATGTTCTGGAGATGACCATTTGATTTCTAAAGTATGTAAAATACTACTCAAGATGAACCTAGAAGATGAATACGTTAAAGAGTGTATGGTAAAATGGACAAAATTTTTTGGGTATAATATAATGCTAGATAAATGAGAACGGATGGATGAATGGACTAAAATTCACATTAAATTATAGTTTGAAAGAAAACTTTTACAAAATGATGTATCATTGGTACTTGACTCCAGACAGACTAGAGAAAATGTATTACATAGAAATGTATATTTCTAATAAGTGCTGGAACTGTAATCAAAATCCAGATTCATTTTATCATATGTAGTGGTCTTGCAAATAAGTGAAAACATACTGGATAAACATAACAATGACAATACAAAAAAAATAAATAATATAAATATTAATGAAACCTGAAGCTTTTATTTTAGGTATGATAGACAAGCCAATTGAAGAACAATTTGGAGTGCTATTCCTATATATTTGTAAAAGGAGAGGAGAGTTTACTATTTTTTCTTTTTTTTCAGCACCCAGCCAGGGTGGATCCTACATGTTAAATGTTAAATTCAGCTAACCACTTTTTCTTCTTTTTTTTGTACGCTATTTTTTTCCTTTTTGTTGGTGTTAGGGTTGAATGCATGCTTTTGTTTTGTTTCATTTTGCTTGTTTTATTGTAAAGCCAGTGCTACCAAGGATCTCTGTCACTTTGTGTAATATCTCTTTGTCATCCCCCCCATCCCCCCACTATTGCTTAATTCGCTATAACTGAGCACCAGCCTTTTCTAACTTAATGTTCTCCAGAGAAAACATCTCTTAAAGCCTGGAGCCAGCATGGCTTTTAGCACTGCCAGAAAAGCGCTAAGCTAAATCTGAAAGACAGCCACAAAGTTGCCAGCTTTGGAATATCAAAGAATGGAAGGCCTGGGTTGTGCCAGTTGGTCTCCACGGATCATCCCTTTGATGCTGCAGAGCACTGTTGATCTCTGCTCCTTAATAGAAGTTTCTTCTCTTGGCCCACTTTGACTGTTTTTACTTGCTCCATGTTAACTGTGCAATGGAATCTAACCTGCACAGGGAGGGATTTTTCAGATTCATGTGGTCCTACAAAAAACTGCTCTCAGACTGAAAAGAAACCAAAATGGTTTCCTGCAGACTTGTTGCAGGAAACCATTTTCCAGCCTGCCAACTTTTTGGAAGTCTGGTAGCACTTTTTCCAACTGGCACATATTATTAAAAGATACACTCTTTCATGAGTTCCAGCTGACTTCATTCCATACAGCAGTGTTTCCCAAACTTGACAATTTTAAGGCATGAGGACTTCAACTCCCAGCAACGCTGGCTGTGGAATTCTGGGAGTTGAAGTCCTCATGCCTTAAAATTGTCAAGTTTGGGAAACACTGCCATACAGGGAGTGGCTTTTCCACTCTTGGCTCCTCCTGATTTTTGCTACATAAACTAAGATGGCTCTCCTCTTCCTCCTTCTCCTCCTCTGTTTGCCAAAAGTGTACAGGCTTACTTTGTCAATAGTAGTGTAGTAAGAGAAATAAAATGACAGAGAAAGAGACTTTGGACGTACTTCAGATAAGGCAGGTTAGATGTGATTTGATTCAATCAATTTTGCATAGGGTGACTCTTTTTTTTTTTTTAATCCTCCCAGTAACAGTGTTTGTCAAGCCCCAGCATCGCTAGCTGGGGAGTTCTGGGAGTTAAAGTCTACAAGGTTGAGAATCACTGCTCCATCCCAATGGACTGCATGAATTCAAAAGTGCTAAAAGGAGATACCACATCAGAGCCCTGGCAAGCTGGCCTCAGATGCCACCTCGTGACAACATGATGCCTCTGACTATACATTCCTTGACACCATCTCCTCCGCCACCACCATCCTGACACCCTGTGACGACACTCACCTGCCTCCCTCCTCCTTCCCCTTACTTAGCCTGCCCTGATCAAGAAGAGTACCTTTGTTGTTGAAGTGTGCACCAAGATTCCCAGGGCCCTCCTGAAGTGAGCCAGAGGCCCAAACCACCAGGATCAAAAAGGCAGCAATGGATCTCCGGGCCTGCTCCATGCTTTGGTGCAGGGGAGGGCAGCAGTTCTGCCAGAAAAGTCTTTTCACCTGCTCTGCCAGTTGGTAACTGACTGCAGAAGCTGATGCCTGGGTCTTTGCTCCACAGCTGGAGGCTGCAGATAAGAGGGCGGGCTCTGAGTTGAGAAAGCAACAACAACAAATTGTTGCAACTGTGAGCAGACCTGAGCCCCTCTCCCCCTGGGGATTTTTCCTGTGCATGACAGAGTACTATCTTCTTACATTTAGGGTAAGGCTATGTCAAAATTACTGTACCCCAATAGCAACTGCAAGTCAAACTCCAGGCCCAGCATACTTCCTATCCACCCCAAAACATGAAGCTTGCTTACTTTCCCCAATCATATTCTTCCTGGGACTGTCTGCCCATGGTCTGTTTATCTCCAATCCTGTGTCAAAGGCATTCCTTTTACTATTCAGTGTGCAATGCAGGTTGTTCCTAGTTCAAAGACAGAATGCCCCAAAGGCAAAAGAGAGAGGAAAAGGATTGTTATAAATCTAATGGACAAAACAGGTGTAGACAACACCTCACAGAAGGTAGAATAAACAATCTGCCATAAAGATTTTGTTAATGTCAGGGATAACTTCCCAACTCCAGGAATTCACAGGAATAGAACCTTTCATTTTTTATGTGGCATACATTCATTATTTGGGGCCCCATATTGCACTAAAACACAATTGTGATGTATTTAGATTTGGCCCTGATATTGTAGGAAGTCGGCTACTGGAGCTTGCGCTCCCTAATTTATGCCTCCCAGAGGCTCTGGGAATAGAACATAGAATAATAGGATTGGGAGGACCCTTGGAGGTCTTCTAAAATGAACTCCCTGCCTGTGGCAAGAGATTTTATACCATTCCAGACTTTCTTTGGGCTTGATGGGATGGATATTTGAGATCATAGAAAGAATAACAGAATAGAATAATAGAGTCGGAAGGGACACTGGAAGTCCTCCAGTCCAACTTTCTGCACAAGCAAGAGACCCTATGCCATTTCAGACTAATTGTTTTCACTGTCAGGAAATTTCTCCTTATTTCTAGGTTCCTTCTCTCCTTGATTAGTTTCCATCCATTGCTTCTTGTCTTGCCTTCAGGTGCTTTGGACAATAGGTTGACCCACTCTTCTTTGTGGCAGCCTTTGAGATATTGCAATACTGCTATCATGTCACCCCTAATTTTCATGAGACCAAACATACCCAATCCCCGCAACCATCTTTCATATCTTTTAGCCTCCAGCCCCTTAATCATCTTTGTTGCTCTTCTTTGCACTCTTTCTAGCGTCTCAACATCTTTTTTATATTGTGGCAATCAAAAATGGATACAATATTCCAAGCGTGATGTAGTATCTTCTTTCAAATCATCCTCTGTTCTCTGCCATGTACTTTTTAAAGGAAGTCTCTGGATTTGCAGAGAGAAAAAACATATGTCTAGCCAAAGGCTGAGGGATAAACGCATGATACAGATTATGCCAGCTGACTCTTCTTGATGCTGCAGGGGAAAAGGCCTTTCTCTGGAGTCTGGGGATTCAACTGGGCATCTTCATGGGATGATCTGTGATGGCATGGGTAGCACAGAGAGTAGAAAATAGGAAAACCTACAGATATGATTCCTTTCAGTTCCGAATTAATTTGGAAATGATTTCTCTTTGCATCCTTCGCCTTTTGACCAGAGCAGTGGCCAGTGGTGAGTGTGCAGCCTGGGTTAGGTAGGGAGGTGTGGAGCTGAAGGCAAAAAGGAGGAACTACAAACAGAAAGTTGTTTAGGGATGATAAGAGGGCTTCTTCTGCAGAGGACTTGTTTATTTCAGGCACTTGCACTTTTTGAAAACAGATAGTAGAGCTCTAGTCCCTTATCTAACCACCCCCCCCCCCCAAAATTGGCTGTTATTCACTTTTACAAAAACTTATTTTCAAAAAAAATTTTCTCTTTATAAATACATTTATTGATTTGCTATATGCTAGTGAAATAGCAATGTCATAATTTAACATTCCTGATATATTTGGCCAAATTTTATCCCTACATGAGCGTGTGGGTATGTGGGAGAGTGGCTTGCCCTGTCAGTCTTGGTGAGGATTACTTTGTTTTTCTGGGCAAGCTTCCATATCATGGGCTACAGCTACAACCATTTTTTGTTTTTTGGAAATGTCTCTGGTCTCTATCACTCAGATGATGCTTCAGACTCGTGCTTTGCTTTGCATCAAATTAAGTAACTAGGTACTTATTTTTTAATTACAATAATCTAATCAGAAAACCAGGAGTGTAATAGTTAAAGGCATCACTTTAGAAACTGGGAGACTGTGAATTCTAGGCCTGCTTGAGGCACAAAGTCAGGTGGGTGATCTTGGGCCAGTCACTTTTTCTCAGCCCTGGGAAGAAAGCAAGGGCAAACCACTTCCAAAAAGCCTTGCCAAGAAACTTCAGGAACTTTCCAAGCAGATGCAAAAGTCAACAGTGATTCAAAGTCAAGAAAGCAAAATCCCATACAAGGCCTGTTTGCAGACTAGTGGCTTCAAAGTAGCTACTACTAAACTAGACACACTAGTGCCATAGTAGGGACTACAGGATAATCCCATTGTAAGGACCCACCCCACTTTGCATCTTAAGAAGACAGAACTCTTGGAATAATTCTTCCAACAGGAATCCTTTATTAAGAGAAAATGGTTGCAGGCATGCTAGACAGGACTTGGGGTTCAAGCTCTTCCATTCAAGGTTTTAAGGGGTTCCCCAGTAGTCCCACCCAATCAACCCCCCTTCCAGTGATAGTTTCAAGTATCACAATTCCACCCCCTTTCTTCTTTCTTCCGTCTGGATGGAGACTTCAGATAACTACATGAAAGGCAAATACCCTCCTTTGGTATGCTAACGCTTCGAGGTTACAATAAACACACATTCAGCATTCAGCTCTTTGAAGTGTACTGAAGGAAGTGAGGGCCATAAAGCCCCTTTGTTCTCCCCCTTCTCTCCCTCTTATGGCAGAATCCAAAGATGGCAGAATTGGGAGTTTCTATATTTGATAATTAAAGATGAAATATAATTGGATTCTGACACCCATCTCATGAACAGAATTCTCTTTATATGTTTGAGTTAAAGCATAGGAACACCAACTGTGGCCTGGGATTGCATTTCCCCAGACTATAACTGGAACATCCAAAGACCTGAATTTTGTCACTTTTGTGCAGGCTAATCTTATACTGTGGGCCAAGCTAACAACTTAAGGGCAATTCAGGGCTTTCTCTGAAATTTCTAAGAGATAAACCACACTGTTCTGAGTGAAAATTGTTGCAGTACCTAATCAGCTTATTTTCCCTTCATCTGAAAACTACATCAAAGCATCTTTTGCTTTAGGGAGAGGGAAACTTTCCCAAGACCACAGAACAATATGCATTTCAAGTGCTAAAGTCTCAAGCATCAACAAAAGAAAAAAAATCTACCAGCTGTGCATGATATGTTAAAATTCCTACTTCGGCCAGGATGATAGATCATCCTTGCACTCAAGGCTATCCTTGGCAAGGTAACAGGTGAACCTTTGGGGGGGGGGTCTCCAAATTGTGCTTCCCCACTGTGATGGAATGTAGAAGACTGGATTCCCAGGAGGGAGGGGGCACATTCCAGAGAAATAAGAGGCAGCTCAGTCCAGCTATTTTGTGTGAGAGAAAGAGAGTGACGACAGCTCCTTCCTTTTAGTTCTACATGCTGGATCTAGATAGTAGAATGCTTCAGTTGGCAAGATTCTGTCTTGTGTTGAACAATAAAAAAATCTGTTTGGAAGAATCACCATATATCTTTCTTGGTTTCTGGACCTGACACATTCTCAGTTTAAGACAGCAAGCATAAAGTCCTGGCTCTTGTTGTTTTTAGGCCTACAGGTAATCCATTTTTTCCCCTGAATCAGGGAATGAGTTAAATGATTGAATTACAGCTTATGTGGGAGTGGGCAGTATCTTCAAAGCCTCAAGGGCAGAATTGCCTTAGCACTTTTATGGACTACTGTTTGGTTCTTCTATTAGCTACTTCATGCATCTTGTTCATAAAATTATTCCAACCCTGTTACTGACAATTGTGATAGAACTGAGCAAGCAGCACTAAATGTTTAGGAAATTCTGGCATTCAGAGAATCTTGATTAATTTAATTAAAAAAGATTTGTACTGCTGTATGAAACATGCGTACATTCTCATAATAACTGGACTATCTGGAGAGCAGGAAGGAAGAAGGCTTAAAGAGTGCAGCACAGGTATATTGAAGCTGGTCATACCTGCCTACCATTGTGTTTGGGGTTTTGGTGGGTCTCTTTTCAGCAAAGCTATGATAGATTGTGTGGACGCCACATGGTAGTTCTACAAGCAACAAAAATGGGAAATATTACAGAATCATGTGAAAAGAAATGTATGCTTTCACATAACAAAGATATCACTATCACAGATCATCCATCTACACAGGTCTGCCCTTGGCTACACTATTAAATTTTGAAGGCCATGAATATGTGAACATCACCTTCCCTTAAAACTAAAGACTAGCTCAGTTTTTTGAAGCAACCAGGTGCTATTATTTGGGGACTTCTCAAAATGCTATTTGTAACCAAAGATGCTTTTTTTGGAATTGATGGCCTTTGGGCAGTATGGTTATTGATCTCCCACAAGGATTCTGAGTGGGCAAAGCAGGATCCTACAGATGACCAATTCAGAATAATTATAATCTTTCATGGATTCTTCAGTTTCTTAGCCACTTGCATGTTACAGAAGTGTTGTAATCAGACAAGCTATCTTTGGCTTTGAAGATCTGTTCCTATGCTGTTCAACTCTTGATTACTCTGGATTTGTACAAGAGATGTTGGTGGGGATTCTGACCAAAATGATGTCCTCTTGGAAGCATAAGGCGACTGTGGCACAGAAGAAGGTGCCTGCAATTTCTGCACAATATGAGGGGGAACTGGGCACCTGGTTTCCAAGGGAAGTGGGTGTTGAGGGACAGACAGATAGGGTGGGGGAGAATCAGGGGGGGCTATTACTAACTGATTTTCCAAGAACCAGGAGGAAGGAGCTAAAAATGGATGTGTTGAAAGACATGATCTAAAGTGTGGATCCTCAGCAGAGAGTGATGGAGAAAAGGAAACTGGGCTATTAGGTGCACTATGTGAAAATATGAAGCATGAACTGGCAGCAAGGGTGCCAAAATCTTTGAGAGAGGGGATGTGGCGAAGAGCAGCTTTGCTCCCAGGCTTTGGCTTCAAGCGTGGTTCCCTGGTGATTCCCTTTTTCTGGAGCAGGAAGAAGTCATGGGGTCCAGCAGGATTCATGGCATAGAAAACATTTGCACTATCAGGAATCAGCAACTCTTCAGGGGAGAAAAAGAAAAAAACACAGAAAGAATGAGAGAGTGCGAGCAAGGCTTGGCAGCATCTCCCCTCCTTCCATCTTAACAGAATAACAGAGCTAGAAGGGACCTTGGAGATCTTCTAGTGCATGGAGGAGGCCCTAGACCATTTCAGACAAGTGGCTGTCCAGTCTCTTTTTAAAAGCCTCCAGTGATGGAGCACCCACAACTTCTAAAGGCAAGCCCTTCCCCTGGTTTATTGTTCTCACTATTAGGAAATTTCTCCTTAGTTCTAGGTTGCTTCTTCTCTTGATTAATTTCCATCCATTGCTTCTAGTCTTGCCTTCTGGTGCTTTGGAAAATAAGTTGACCCACTCTTCTTTGTGGCAGCCTCTGAGATATCGGAACACTGCTATAATGTCATATTTAGGCCCTCTTTTCACTAGACTAGACATACCCAATTCCTGCAGTCATTCTTCATATGTTTTAGCCTCCAGCCCCGTAATAATCTTTGTTGCTCTTCTCTGCACTCTTTCTAGAGTCTCAACATGTTTTTTATATTGTGGTGATCACAACTGGATACAGTATTCTAAGTGTGATCTTACCAAGGCATTATAAAACAGAAATCAAGTGATTTTGATTCTATCCCTCTGCACTGGCTTTTTTTGGTGGCTGCAGCACACTGCTGACTCATATTTAAGTGATTCTCCACTAGGACTTCAAGATCCCTCTTGCAGTTACTGCTATTGAGTCAAATTTCATCTACAGACCTACATTTAATTATGTCTAATTAATTACTTTAATTTACTTACATCTAATTTTCTGTACATTTGGTTTTTCTTGTCTAAGTGTAAAATCTTACTTTTCTCACTACTGAATTTCATTTTGTTAGATAGGGCCCAGTGTTCAAGTTGTGATCCTTCTGGATCTTGAGCCTATCTTCTGGGGTGCCAGCTTGGTATTGTCTGCAAATTTGATGAGTTCCCCCTTCTATCCCCTCACCTAAATAGTTTATGAAGATATTGAAGAGCCTTGGGGCTAAACAGAACTTGGGGTACCCGGCTTCTTACTTCCCTCCCTGCAGATGTAGTTCCATTAAGGACTACACATTGAGTGAAGTTTGTCAGCCAGTTACAAATCCATCTGCTGGTGATGCTGTCTAGCCCACATTTTTTTAGCTTACCAATAAGTAGGTTGTGGTCTACTTTGTCAAATGCTTTACTGAAATCCAAGTATATTATGTCCATAGCATTTTGCTGGTGTACTAATTTAGTCACTTTGTCAAAGAATGAAATAAAATTTGTCTGACTTGATCTGTTTTTGACAAACCCGTGTTGGCTTCTGGTTATAACTTTGCTTACTTCTAGGTGTTCACAGATCTGCTGCTTGATTATCTTTTCCAGGATCTTCCCAGGTATTGATATCAGGCGGATAGGTCTGTAGTTTCCTGGATCTATTTTTTTCTCTTTCTTGAAGATGGGAACCATATCAGATCTTTTCAAAGATCTTTCAGGATCTTTGAAAGAGATGGTGCAATAGTTCCAAGATCACACTTGCCAGCTCCTTCAGAACTCTGAGAAGTAAACTATCAGGTACTGGTGATTTGAACTCATCTAGAGTGGACAGATATTCTCCTACATTTTGTTGCCTATTTTAATTCAAATTCTTAGTTTGTCTTTTATGGTTCTGTCTATGGTAGATTGGGCTATTTTTTTCTTTTTGTGTGAAGACAGATGCAAAGAAATAATTAAGTAGCTCTCCCTGCTACTTATCACTTCCTTGCCATCTTCTCACATTAGTGGACCAATTGTTTTTTTTTTTTACTTTTTCTTGGTTTTTTTATGTTGCAAGCATTTATTATTATTGTTATTGTTGTTGTTGTTGACATTTGTTGCAAGTCTTAGTTCATGCTGAGCCTTAGCTTTCCTGACTTCATCTTTGCACGTTCAGGCTATATGCTGGTATTCTGCCTTAGATAGGTGTCCCTCTTTCCATTTTTATATTGGTTTTATACAGTCTACTAGAAGACCTACAAAGTCCCTTCCAAATCTATTATTCTGTCATTCTGTATTCTATTATAATGCAATTCCACCTCCTCTAACAAAATCTTTTTACAGTTTATATCAGTGATGGCAAACCTTTTAGAGACCGAGTGCCCAATGCAAAACCCAGTTATGCATTGTTGGGTGCTGGGTGGGTGTGGTCCATTGGGTGGGTGTGCCCCATTGGGTGGGCATGGCTGTGGTGGTTAACAGCAGACTGGGTGGGACTAAAAAGTTCAACCAATCAATTCCAATTTGAAAGATCTCTTTTTTTCCCGCAAGAAGTTGAAATTAACTGATTGATTGAACCTCTTTTTTTTGCACACGGCGGCAGAGGCCTAAAGTGAAAAGGTTTTATAAAACCCAGCTGAAGGCCTAGGACTGGGCCGACAGTGCACGTGCCCATAGAGAGGGCTCTGAGTGCCGCCTCTGGCACCTGTGCCATAGTTTCGCCACCACTGGTTTATATCCTTCTATCAGTACATTCCGGTTGTTTCATTCCACCAAGTTTCAGTAATGGCAACTATATCATACCTACCCTCATGTACTAGTACTTCAAGAACTTCTTGTTTGTTCCCCAAAATTTGAGTTGGTGTATAGGCATCTGAGTCCTTTATGGCTGGCCCTGCCGATCACATGCTACATCACTGTTTTGCTGGCCTATGGCTGTCTCAGCTAGGATCTCTTCTAGGATTCTGCAATTCTTACCTTGACCACCCCCCAGAAGTTGCAGAAGTTGGTAGTTGCATGGTGAGTCCTCTTCCAGTTTGTGCTTCTGCAAGGCCCGCTCTATCACAGCTGTGGTCTTATCCTGGCTAGTGATCTATAGGGAGAATTCATCCACTTATAGGTAACCATAGGTGAGTCTGATAGACCTAGCTATGTGACAACACTGTGTAAAACACTGTTAAAAGATGAAACAACACATATAAATGGCATTATTATCGATCAAATAGAAAAGTGGTCTCAGTGAAGACATCATAGTCTCCGAGTTGCCCATTCTCTAGTGTATTACATTAAGTAGATCCATTATCCAAAAATGCTGTCTGTTTTTGAAATACACTAATTCCACCTCCATACATATCACAGTCCTCAAATGTGAAACTGATAAATCTCCAGAAATGCCTTCTCCTAACTAGTGTCCTCCAGTTGCATAGGACAGCTCCCATAATTTCCAGCCTTTGCTCACAGCAGGTAGGAAGTGTAGAGGCTTGATATTAAGCACATTTGAAAAACATCAAATTGGAAAAAATTGCTCTAGAGGATGGAAACAATCCAGTCTTATTCTCATCAAACAAAAAAAATTCCAAATACTCAAAGTAAAACATCATAAAAGTTTTCAGAAGTATGTATAGATTCCTTAGTTCTCTTCTTTCCCATTCATATCTGTCTTGGTAATTTACAGGCATGTAGACTTTAACTCCCCAAAATCCACAGGCAGCATGGCAGTTGATGAGAATTTCAGGAATTGAATTCCACACATCTGAAAACTGCCAAGGTTGAGAAACCTTGCTCTAAATACTTTGGTTCATTTTTGTTCTAGATCATTTATTTTGTGATATTTATTCTTCACTTTCTCGGTTCACAGCTTCCATATACAGAAACTAAATCTGGGGATTTCCTGATTTTCTTCATCGTTCTGATGCAATCAGAGAACCCTCATCACTTTAATCATGTGCAATTTTTTGGCATGCTTTCCTGTCATGTCCTTATTAAACCTGCCCTAGATATTTCCTGCAATCCAGAATTTGTGGCTTCTCTTCCACAATACTGCCCTCTCTTGGTAACTTACCAGAATGCTGCGATAAAGGTTTCCATTTCCACAGATATTGTTCGTATGGACACGGACAATGCGAGATTCTGTCTCTCCCTGTTTAGAGATGGAAGGTGGCACAGGTTGCTCACGCAGAGGGCAGGTTTTCAACTGAGTTACAGGTGGATCCTAAGCAGAGGAGAATGACCAAAAGTGAAATATTATGGCTTTTAAAATGGCATAGTTCACCATTTTTGATGTGCCACAAGAGAGTTTTGTGTATGTAAATTGTAACCTATGATGTTGGGGAAACAAATGGTGTATTCTGAGAGCCTAACCAGAGATCCAAGTATCTAAAATAAAACACATCCCAGAATTTTGTGATGGGTTTCAGGAATTCCCCAGGTTTACAATTTCTGTACATGGAAGCCGTGAACTGAGAAAGTGAAGAATAAATCTTGCAAAATAAGTGATCTAGAACAAAAATGAACCAAAGTATCTAAAACAAGGTTTCTCAAACTTGGTGGTTTTCAGATGTGTGGACTCCAACTCCTGAAGTTCTCATCAACAGCCACGCTGCCTGTGGATTTCTGGGAGTTAAAATCTACATGCTTGTAAATTACCAAGATTGAGAAATGAATGGGAAAGAAGAGAGATAAGGAATCCATATATACTTCTGAATTAGGCAGTGAAAAATAATTTAAATCCATTCTTGAAATTAGAGAAATGATTGATCACACCATTTAGCAAAAATTTTAATTTGGTAGAAAAAAATAACCAGGAAGGCTTAAATGGCTTCCAAATAGTATTTGTGAGCACAGTATTTCCCAGCACAGTATCAGATTGTCATCCGTGTGATCTTTTGGGTAGAAATGTAACCTGTCTGTTCTATATAGAGGACAGTGGGAAATTACTCAACTATTATGCCAAACACTCTTGTTGGTAAGTGAAGTAGGATATGGATACCTAATACTTGGATACTTGCAATCTGGTGGTTGTCCTCAGTCACAAAAGATGCCACCTTTGGAGAAATGCAAACTCCACTCACTTTTTGCAGAGGACAGCATGTCAGAATCCAATCATATTTCATCTTTAATTATCAAATATAGAAACTCCCAATTCTGCCTTCTTTGGATTCTGCCATAAGAGGGAGAGAAGGGGGAGAACAAAAGGGCTTTATGGCCCTCACTTCCTTCAGTAGACTTCAAAGAGCTGAATGCTGAATGTGTGTTTATTGTAACCTATTGTAACCTCAAAGCGTTAACACCAGAGAACATTAGCATTAACAAAGAAGAGTATTTGCCTTTCATGTAGTTATCTGAAGTCTCCATCCAGACGGAAGAAAGAAGAAACGGGGTGGAATTGTGATACTTGAAACTATCACTGGGAAGGGGGGTTGATTGGGTGGGACTACTGGGGAACCCCTTAAAACCTTGAATGGGAGAGCTTGGACCCCAAGTCCTGTCTAGCATGCCTGCAACCATTTTCTCTTAATAAAGGATTCCTGTTGGAAGAACTATTCCAAGAGTTCTGTCTTCTTAAGATGCAAAGTGGGGTGGGTCCTTACATTAGACAGGACTTGCAAAATTAATCCACCTGGAAGGTAGACCCTTGCCGGGGGATTTTGCAAAAATTTACCATGTCAGACAACGAAGCAAGAGAGGGAGAAAACTCCCTGGAAAGAGAGCCGCTGACCCAGTTGGAACCTTGCCAGATGTTGGGATCCGAGAGGCCAGATTTCTCAGAAGAAGAAGTGGTGGAGACACAGGACAAACTGGTCGATGGGCGTTGGAAAGAAAAGCGAGTGGGGAAAGGAAAAGAAAAGTGACCCTGAGACGGGGGACCAAGCAACCAGAATGGAAGCAGGAGATGGAGAAATCCCTGCACGCAAGTGAAGAGGGAGGAAGCTGTATGCCGTACTCAGACTGGATCCTAGAGAAAGCTATTGACCTGATGAAGAGAACTCTCAGCTCCCTAGGAGAGGAGATTCCTGAGCCCTACGCCCGCCCCAGTTCCTGGAGCCACAAAGGGAGAGACACCGAGGGGGACGTGGAACCTGCAACCCCAGGGACATTTACTGATCCAGGAGCTCCCACCCCCTACCGGACCCAAGATGGAAATCTGGACGGAAGACACTACCACCCACAATGGAGGCACCGATCCATTCCAAGACGCCCACCGTGGAGGTGAAATTCAAAGGGGAGCCAACACGCTTGGGGTTTTTCCTAACCCAAGTCCTCAGCTACATGGAGGAATATGGGCAGGACATCCCCAGCGACAAAGCCCGCATCCGGATCGTGCAATCTGCCCTGGATGGACCAGCTGCAGATTGGGTGGTGAACCTGCATGACTCCAATGCCCCAGAACTCAGTAACTTCAACCGTTTCATGTCCTCTTTGAGAAGACGATTTGAAGACCCCCTGGCTGATCGCAAAGCCCGTGAAAGAATAACAACGATGAGGCAGGGCAAACGCCCAGTGGCTGAGTATACACAAGAATTCCGAGCCATTGCCAGCAAACTGAATTGGCCAGAAGACATCCTCCTTGGCCGTTTCAAAGACGGACTAAACTATGATCTATATGATGCTTGCCTGCCCCGAGGAGACCCACATCGACTTGAGGAATGGTACGTCTTGGCAGAGGAAGCAGAGATCGACATATTGAAGAGGCATCGCCGAGGAAAACAATGGAGCCGCCCCCCGCCTGAGCTGACACACCAACCGGTGAAATCATCGGATACAGCCAAGAAGCAGATGGGGTGTTTCAAGTGCGGAAGAGAAGGGCATCGAGCTGTAGAATGCCGCTCAAAGGCCCCCCAGCACAACCCAGACAGATCCCCAATCAACAAACCCAGAGGGTATTCAGCTAAGCCAAAAGAAACAGCCATGAAAATGATGGAAATTGCAGAAAACCCCCACCTCTGCTCACCAAGGGGAAAGAACTCCAGCCTACACCACAGGGACGGTGGATGCCTCAGATGACAGCTCGGAAGGCGAACCCCTGGTAAGTGGACGCATCACACCCATCTTCAAAACAGTGACTATATTAATCCCCCCCATGCCCGAAGCTGTGAAGGTGAAAGCCTTAATAGACTCTGGCTGCACCCGCTGCCTCATTAGCCCAACACTAGTGGGGAATCTGGGCATCCCATCCAGGAGACTGGAACAACCAATCTCATTTGGCCAGCTAGATGGATCCATAGCAGGGGGGGTGCCAGCTACCCTAGCCACTCTGCCAATACACCTCTCCCTGGGCAACCATGAAGAGGACTTAACGTTTGTGGTGACCCCAGGTATGGAATGCCCAATGATTCTAGGGATGGAATGGTTGAAAAAATGGAACCCCTGGGTAAATTGGAGGACGACAGAAATCAAATTCCCGAAGGGGGACCCTATGGACTTAAAACCCCAAGAGAGGCTACCAGAATCAAGAATAGAAAAAGCATCCATAGGAGAGGAAAAAAGATTAACAGAAATACCAGAGGAATATAGGGACCTTGCTGAAGTCTTCAGTGAGGAGAGGGCGAATGAGCTTCCCCCCCACCGACCCACAGACTGTACCATTGAATTCAAGCCTGGGGCAAAACTCCCGAACCCAGATTATACTCCATGAGCCCAAAGGAGAAGGAGGAAATGGAAAGATTTATAAAAAAAAACCTGGAGAGAGGTTTCATTGAACCAGCTAAGCCTAAAGTGGCTGCCCCGGTCCTTTTTAGAGAGAAGAAGGATGGCTCTTTACGTTTATGCGTGGATTATAGGGCCCTGAACACAATCAGTGAAAGCAACCTATACCCGCTGCCCCTCATGAAAGACATGCTGTCACACCTATCGAAAGGGAAAATTTTTTCTAAACTAGACTTAAGGGAAGCTTACTATCGCGTGAGAATCAAGGAAGGGGACGAATGGAAGACTGCATTTAACTGCCCCATGGGGTGCTATCAATTCAAAGTCTTGCCATTTGGATTACAAGGGGGCCCTGCAGTCTTTATGCAATTAATCAATGACGTTCTAAGGGAGCACCTGTTTAAGGGGGTCCTTGTTTACTTGGACGACATTCTTATCTTTACCGAAACAAAAGAAGAACACGTCAAACTTGTCAGAGCGGTTTTAAAGAAGCTGCGAGCCGCTCACCTATATGCCAAACTCTCAAAATGCGAATTCCACCAGGAAAGGATAGACTACCTAGGCTATCGCATATCCCCACAGGGCATTGAAATGGACCCGGAGAAGGTCAAAGCAGTACTAGATTGGGCACCACCCCGCACAAGAAAGCAACTACAAAGCTTCCTGGGCTTTGCAAATTTTTACCGCCAATTCATCCCCTCATTTGCACAGATAGCCTTGCCCCTCACTAACTTACTAAAAACGAAGGGAACATCCTCAGTAAAACCTAGCCAGCCACTAACATGGACAATGGAGTGCCAAGCAGCGTTTGAGAGACTAAAGAGACTTTTTTCTGCCGAACCAGTACTAAGGCACCCAGACATGGACAAGCCCTTCGTAATACAGGCAGATGCAAGTGATGTGGCAGTGGGGGCTGTGCTATTACAAGAAAATGATGATGCAGTATTGCAACCCTGTGCATATACATCCAAGAAACTCACGGAAACAGAACAGCGCTGGCCCGTATGGGAGAAGGAGGCTTATGGGATACGTTGGGCATTACTCACGTGGCGACAGTTCCTGGAAGGCAACAAAATCCCCTTCCAGGTGTGGACTGATCACAAAAATTTAGAAGCCCTGAAAACTTCCAGGAAACTCAATCCCAAACAAGCCCGCTGGTCCCAGCATTTTCACCAATTCCAATTTAAGCTCAAACATTTACCAGGAAGAAAGAACTTCCTGGCAGATGCACTATCTCGCATGCCCCAATATAACAGCGCACGAACCACAGACTCTAGACCAATAATGGCAGAGTCACAACTGGCAGCACCAGTAACCACAAGAACCCAAGCCAAATTAAAACCACAACTGGACAGCCAAACTGGAATTGAATTCAGAAAAAGTTTGGAAACAGATGATTGGTTCCAGAAAAACAAAAATGTGTGCACAATGAAAGACGGGTTGCCTTGGATAGGGGAAAAGTTATATATACCAACAACTCAAAGAGTAACTTTCATGCACCTTTGCCATGACACAAAATCAGCAGGGCATTTTGGATTTGTAAAAACTTTACATTTAATTAAACGG